TTCTAATTTGGTATTTGCGACCGTTAATGCTGATTTAACGGTCGCAAACATCCGTTTTACCGGCTCCGCTTACGCGTCAGGCGCGTAGCCAGCATGGAAATAATGTGTACTCAAAGAACGGTCAGGGGTCTGGGGGCCGCCCTGAGGCCCCCAGTGGGTCCAGGGCGAAGCTCTGGTGGGGGCCCAGGGGGCGAAGCCCCCGGAAGCTCCTGGATTTTACGAAATTTTTCAGTCATTTTCCCGCAAAAGAAATCGCGCTACATCTCTTTTCTCGAGCAAATACTTAGCTAAGTTAATGCTTTCATGGGTACTTCAGAAAGAGAACGATAATTAAATCAAATTATTTTACGCATATATATTGGTAAATATATTTGGGGGGGGGAGTTTCCAAACGTGACAAGATAAACAGAGACGTAATTCAAAACTGTTATCATTGGAGTTTAAATATTTCACAATATAAACGGGGATTGGGGGGTCTTTTGTTTACTTATATATTTTGATGGCTTAAACAAGGTGAGAATGCTTAAATAATAATTCTATAAAATGGTAACATCAGCAAAATAAGATTTTCAAACATGATCTTTATTATTATTTACTCTGTACTTCGTTCAGCGTATTTTAAATATTACCATTTTTTGTTTAACTACATTTATTTATTACCTCAACGGAAATTGAAAATCTTATATAGTAGTCCAACGGATTTACAGTTGAACATTTTGGTTTAATTATATTTTCTCTTCCTCAATAATATTGGAATAAGTTTTTGGAATTTGAATTTATAAAAGACTTTGAATTTGATTGCACAGACATCCTGAATAAAATTTGAATCGAAACAATAAGACGCAAAATAATTTTGTGCCTTTTTTCTCCGAATAAATCTTTTTTTTTCTTTCTTTTTCTTTTCTTCTTCTTCTTTTATTTTCTTTCTTTTTTTCTTTTTTTTCTGTTTTGAAAATGATGTGTACGCACTTGCGTACTTGCGTATAGGCAGCTACGCGCCTGCGCGTCGCCGGTAAAACTCAGTTTGCGACCGTTAAATCAGCATTAACGGTCGCAAATACCAAATTAGGAGATAGTTATTCCCTAATTCAACGAATAGAGATATACTAGCTTTTAAAAGATAGAGCAAGTTTTCGCCGGCATTAGTTTTGTGCATCAAGGCTTGCAAAATAATTTAGTGTTTCAGCAAACAAAATATCGTTTGATCAAGGTCTGTAGCAACGGCTTTTAATGTGTGTGTGTGGGGGGGGGGGGGGGGGGGGCTCCGACAAAAAAATCTGCGTACTACAGAGCTGTGCTTCTCGTAAACCATCAGATCTCTATTTTTCATGATAAATTTCTTCCGTATAAATCCAGGACAGTCCAAGTCTACGTGAGTTACACGTACATGTATCAAAATAACCCGATTTTTTAAACTGAAAAAAACTAAAGGTCGCTAATCGGATATAAAATTTCACAATTTTGCTTTGAGACTACAATCAGTTATAAGTAGGCAGATCATTGTAGAAAAAGTGAACAAACCTACATGAATATTCCCTACACCTAGAAATTTCTCTTAATTGAATTTCAGTTAGAAAAAAAAAACATGCATATGGTCCACGTATTACAGTCCTTTTTTAAAGGACAGCAACTTGTTAAGTACACCTTTCCGTAGACAACGAGAAGAATTTTGGATTAGAAAACTAAGGACAGTCTTTCTCTATGGATGCAATAACAATGTCGATAGTGTTGGAAATCTTTCCAGTCCACAATGTAAGTGTTACAGTATAAATGTGATGGAACTTTTTAACCATACACAGACGTAAGCGTATATAGTCAGGTGCATCGTGCATGTCTCTTCGGTCTTATGTAATTCACAATAATCCTTTCAAAAAAATATTTCACAAAATTAAGTAAAGAAATATAGTCTCGTTTCAACTAACAATACGATTTTATCTTCTCATTTAAATCTACCTTATGATTTTTAATTCAACAGTTAGGTCTACATCTTAAAAACTTACGACTTTTCGACTTAATACACAACCATTCCCCACGGTAAATTAAAGTCCAGGCTTTTTGATATCATTGACAGCTGGTTTTTCAATAAAAAAAAAATGGGACTCGTAAATTTACTTACCTTGTGATTATTTTGTTAAAAAACATTCTGATTGTATATACAGGTACTCTAAGTTGATATCAAGAAGATGCTTGAGTTTCTGATTGACAATGTCTACCGCTATGTGGTTTTTGGAGACCAGGTTTTCCAACAGTTTATTGAAATTCCGAAGGGTACAAATTGTACCCTGTTGTAAGTAGACCTATTTTTGTATTCATTCTGCATGCAGAATTTATGCAAAATTTTATGCATGAAAAGAAGAAAACACTTGCTGTGGCCTTTAACTCGACATTTAGATATATCGACGACGTATTGTCAATTAACAATGGTAATTTTCTATTCCTATGTAGATACGATCATATACATGTATCCTGGTGAGCTTGAGATAAAAGATACCACAGAGTGAAACATACGGAGATAACGAACGGTATTGAAGATGAAAAGTCCATAAAACAATACAAAACGGGGGTAGAGCAGACACGGACCTCCAAAACATCAGAGTGGGATCAGGTGCCATGGTGGAGTGAGCATCCCCTGCCGACCGGTCACACCCACCATGTGCTCCTTGTCATGATCGGGAAATAACGGAAAAAACCGTAGTCAATTCAGTGTATAACTATTGGACTTACAACTGGTATGAAAAACATCAGTCAGCATTTGAGACTAACACATTTGTGTAACGTTTTTACAAAGGTGCAAATAATTATCGAGTGGGTCCGCTTAGGATTCCTTCCTAAGAATCACGTTATAATATAAATCAAACAAACTTCAATAACAATGGCGAACAACTGACTGAATTCAATGTATATATTTTTCCTATCTGGATAATGATTAGAAAACTACATATGTAACTGTAAAACGAACTATAACAAAAGAATCACTAGTAATCAAATATCAAATCTAAAACCTATCTTTATAGTTGCTGATTGAGTGGTATAACCAACAATTCTGTTGTTTCCCGACACAGTCTGCAACCACCCTAAACACTCACCCTAGCAAGTCACAAAGACACCTTTATCAAAAGTCACAAAGACACAATATATATTTTAAAAATCACCAAGACACTATCATCAATAGTCACCGAGACACTGATAAGGGACTAGATTCCTGAGCAGAGTGGTCTAACGAACAATTCTGTTGTTTCCCGACACAGCCTTGGGTGTCTGTATTTATACTGTTTCTAATAACTAATGATTGGTTGATAATTTGGGGACTCTGATTGGCTATAATTTTAATCATTTGATTGGCTAAAATATCAACTATGATTGGCTACACATAATATTATTTGATTGGTTGATTCAAAACCTATTTCAATCCACTTTACTAATTCTGATTTATTACCAGTCTAGTCGAACCCTCAAACGGGGGTAAACCCTCAAACGAGGGTTTTCCTTCCCTTAATGCACTGCGCTAAAGCGGAAGTGGAATTCAAGAACGATAACTCTTCTTATTTAAAAAATAAATATTTTTTAAAAAATCACAAACATACAAAAATGAATTGTCTACACTTTTGTTTTCAATTAAAAAATAAAAATAATTTTTTTTTCGTTTTTTTATTTACCTCATTTCTGAAGCACAAAAGTTTGTTTACAGGGCAGAGGAAATTTTCGAAAAATAATAAAAAAAATTACACAAAAAAATAATGTTTTTTTAAACAAGTAATTGTTTTTTTTATCCGTTTCATTAAATTATGAATAAAAAATCTAGTTGTATCAAGCATGGAGGTCAAGGTACAGAATACGCTAACTTTTGGAGAGAAAAAGTCTCGATTTTTGCAATAAACATATACTTTTTCGCAATATAATCTCTTAAAACATCTTTAATCTATCAAATTTGAGTACATACAGAGCTACGAAATAATCCGTCACTTTGCACGAACATATTTTGTGGACCACACGTTTTTCCGTGAAAACGGCACTTTTTGAGTGTCTGCGCATGCGCGTATCCCCGTTTGAGGGTACGGTTTTCCTACTTCCGTTTACCCCCGTTTGGGGGCTCGACTATAGATTACACTTGGATATTTACTTGAAAAAGACGTCAGTTGTACTCTATCAACCAAGCTCTATGATAAACGTAACTTTTCTATCATCAACTTCCCTTACCTATGCACTTACTTTGACGACGGATTTATTTGAAAAGTAACCTAAGGGCAAACTTGAAGGTCACGGGGTAAAAAATCATAGTATATTTAGAAAAGTCATACCATAGGTAAAAATACATGTGTAATATAAAAATCCCTATCTCCTCTCATTCAGAAGCCATTACCAAAGTTAGACCGACAAAAGAAATTAAATGTCCCCTCGCGTTTTCGAAAACGGGGGACAATTAAGTTTAGAATATATAAGACAGTCTCTTTCTGTCCTTCCAGAAAAGAAGAATTAAGATAAATAATCTACCCTTGATTTGCATGAAAATAACTAAGAGATAAAGGCCTTGATGATTTTTTTAATTGCGACCCCCCCCCTTTTCAGAATCATTCCCAAGGTCGTCCCCTAAAACTCAATATTTCAAATTACCCCCCCCCCCCCCCCCCCGACATTAAAATGGATTCATCGGAAAGATTAGGCCGACCGGCACAAACATCGATGCACAGGCACTTGTTTCGGATACAGGGTTCCCTAGTAAAAATAAGTAGGGGTGCCCCGAAACAAGTGCCTGTGCCTCCATGCCTAAAACGTGAAAAAAAATTCTAGATCCGCGCCTTTAATTAGATTGTTTTTCTTTTTGTGGCTCATTGATAAAAATATCCGTCCTTTGGCACATTCAACATCTTTTTCCTTCAAGTTAATCGTAACGCTTTAGACACTAAAGAGATCCCGCCGCTTGACCATGTTGACGTTTCCCCGCCTTCTTACTGATAATGACATAAGGGGTCCTAGCAGGAAGTAGGTCTGATATGATGTAAGTGGCCATGTTTGTAAAGCATGAAATGAAGAAATATAGATCCAAGATGCCGTCTAATTCTTTTGTGACATTTGCAATTATTTTAAACATATCTGCTTCGATTTCAATTGTTTTACTGAACAAATGGATTTACACAGTTCACGGATTTCCAAATGTCAGCTTGACTTGTCTTCATTTCATCGTGACAACACTCGGACTTTACGTCTGTAAAAACCTCGACATTTTCCAGCCTAAAAGTGTTCCTATATCTAAAATGATACCGCTAGCTCTGACATTTTGTGGTTTTGTGGTGTTTACAAATTTATCCCTAGAGTCAAACACAGTTGGTACCTATCAGCTGATAAAGATGTTGACGACGCCGTGTATTATGGTTATACAGACACTGTTTTACAGTAAATCCTTCTCCACTAGTATCAGATTAACAGTAGTAAGTAATAATCCTAGGCTAATAAGCAAAAATTTGAATACTCTGCTATAAATAGAAATTCGACACTAAAAGTAAACAGTGCCACTAGTGATCGATTGGAATTGGCAAGAAGAATTTCTAAATTGATGAATTAGTTACTCTAACTAACTAATTATCAATCATAATCTCACGCTAAAAAAAAATCTTTCAATTTATGCCCTGTTCACATTTTGTGAATTAAAATAATGCGAATTAAATTAATTAATTGTGTTCACACGAAAGCTAAAATGAAGAAAACTATATGCAAATTTTAAAAAAATCTACAATAAGGCTACTCAATAAAGCCATTATGATGTTATTTGTAAAAAAAAAATCATTTCACATATGAAGAGCAGATCCATTTGAAATAATAGTATACATTTTAGCAATTTTAACATTATTTTCCTTTATCATTGTTTATCATGTTTATTTTTCATTTAAAAATCTGGCCTTGCGCATGACTCTAAATCTAATTCCAATCAGCTTCACTTAACATTCACAGGGAGCTTATGCAAAGTAATTTATGCTTTGTTCACATGGAGAGTTTAATTCGCAGTAAATTAATGTGAATCAAACTAATGCGAATGAAATTGCATTCGCACAACAGCTAATGTGAAGTAAACTAATGCAAATTAAAATTTTATTTCTACAGTCAGACTCAGTAAGGCTATTATGACGTCATTTGCAAATCATGTCACCATATGTAGAAGCCAATCCATTTGACATATTGTCAAAGTGTCCGTTTACACATTTTAGTGATTAACACAATTTTCCTTAGTTTTTCACTCAAAAATAACACAAGAACGTATAGCTGACCACAGACATGTGACATTTTACTTACTTTTGCCATTAGGCATGCGTCAAAATTTAATTCAAATTAGCTTCGCTTAGCGTTCACAAGAAAGTAATGCGAAGTAATTTAACCCCTTCCATGGCAAAGATTTTAAGCATTTCTAGACAAATTGACATTAAGCTTTCAACATGTTCAATGCATTTTTTTCGGGTATTTCTTGTAATTTTTGTATATACCAATGTATACATATTCTGAAGGCAGGTATTGCGTAGTTTCTGAAAATGATTATAAAAATATCATTTCAGTTGTCATGGCAACAAAATACACCATAACCATGCTGGAATTTCCATTTATTCAAGAACGAGTTTCGTTATAGTCTTTTTGCTTAGTTAAATATATTTAAAGTATTTTATTGTTGTGTTGAAAATTATGAGCATGGTGTACGTTTTTTTAAAAACCAGTTTTAAGTATTTTTTAGGGATTGGGGGGTTGGGAGGTAATCACCAGAATTTAGCATTTTTACATATTACGTTTACCACCGCATTGATTTCAATAATGGCAAAATCGCTGAAATAGTGCACAAAGTTTAACTCAAGCTAGCAAAAAACTGTATAGCCAATAAAAAATTTTTTGCATATTGTTTTATCGTAATTATTTTCTCTTTCCAACGAAGCAAGAATTATTCTGGTATTTACATTATTAATGAAGTTATGAATGTTTGTTCACACTGTACTCGTTTTTCAAGTCAGGTGCGTAGAAATGCATATATGCCATGAAAGGGGTTAATGCCTAGTAAATTAATTTGAATTAAACTACGTGTAATTCACATTAAATTCTCAGTGTGAACGGAGTTCAGATTTAATTCGCAGTAATTTACGTTGAATTCAAATTAAAGGTCCGTGTGAACAGGGCATTAAAGCGCAGTAAATTAATTCAAATTAAAATAATTTGCATTAAATTCTCTGTATGAACCTGTTCAAATTTAATTTGCAGTAACTTATGTTTAATCCAAATTAAAAGCTCCATTGGAAAAGGGCATTAGATAATTGAATGGTAAGGATGGCCCAGTGAATGAAGTTACTTTCTGTTGTCATCCAGCTGGTTCTTCCTTCTTTCTGTAGAACCAAAAGAATGTCAATACTAGGGAATGTTTTTTTGTTACTTGGGTAAATGGATACTGTACAATTGTCTGTTCATCTGCGCCACTATGATATATTGCAAAGAAGTTGAAAGAGAAGTTGCTGCTGGAATATTTAAAATGTTAAAAACTATTACTCTTGTAAAATAAAAAAATAAACAGATCATGTTAATTGGAATAAAAGTTTGAAATCAAAGGCTTGGATTATGCCAGCAATATTGACTGATTCTTGACCATAACCAATGATTTGAACACCACTTGTTGCCACACCTTACAGTACTGTTATTCTAATGCCATGATCACAATTTGTAAGAGTTGAATTGAAAATAAACACTATAGCTGTAGAACTGTAGCATTATTGTTTTATAGATTAGTCTTGAACATACATGTACATGATGTAACATATGCTACAGATTCAGATACTCCCATTAATCCTAGACATTTTCCTTATCAAACTTGTATTATTCCACCTCCTACATGTCCTAACCCTTCATATTATTTAAATTTTCTGTCTTTTTTTCAGGTTCCAATAGCTCTAGGTGTCACTTTATATTCATATTATGATGTCAAGTTCAACTTGCTAGGGATATTCTATGCTTCTATAGGAGTGCTTGTTACATCATTATACCAAGTGGTATGATCTGCTAGATCACAGACTATATATTTTACTCATAAGTACCATTTAATTTCATGTTTGAAGTGCAAAATCTTATTAACATAATAATTATGTTCATTGATTGATTTTATGTTAAAAGATTAAATTTGTTTTCTTTTTGAATTTTCAATTATCACTATAATAATGTTGATTTAGAGGAAAAAAAATAATATTGATTAATAATTTTTTCTTATGAATTTAGTGTTCCTATGCATGTAGGTCAGGTTTTTAATTATTGTCCATGTTTTTTCAGTGGGTGGGGGAGAAGCAACATGAGCTTCAGATCAACTCCATGCAGCTCCTGTACTATCAGGCTCCACTGTCGGCTTTCTTACTCATGTTTGTGATCCCCATTATAGACGGCCCTGTCTACAGTATACACGGGGCCATGGGACACTGGGAGATCAGTACTCTGGTAAGTTGATATCTGTACTGTCTACAGTATACACGGGGCCATGGGACACTGGGAGATCAGTACTCTGGTAAGTTAATATCTGTACTGTCTACAGTATATACGGGGCCATGGGACACTGGGAGATCAGTACTCTGGTAAGTTAATATCTGTACTGTCTACAGTATATACGGGGCCATGGGACACTGGGAGATCAGTACTCTGGTAAGTTAATATCTGTACTGTCTACAGTATACACGGGGCCATGGGACACTGGGAGATCAGTACTCTGGTAAGCTGATATCTTTACTGTCTACAGGATACATGGGACACTGGGAGATCAGTACTCTGTAAGTTGATATCTTTACTGTCTACAGTATACATGGGGCCATGGGACACTGGGAGATCAGTACTCTGGTGAGTTAATATCTGTACTGTCTACAGTATACACGGGGCCATGGGACACTGGGAGATCAGTACTCTGTAAGTTAATATCTGTACTGTCTACAGTATACACGGGGCCATGGGACACTGGGAGATCAGTACTCTGGTAAGTTAATATCTGTACTGTCTACAGTATACACAGGGCCATGGGACACTGGGAGATCAGTACTCTGGTAAGCTGATATCTTTATCATGATGAGCCCCCAAGCCTGCTTATGCTAGTGATAAATCTCATTTATTGAGACCCTTGTATACATGAATTATCTCACTGCAGGTTGAGGGAGAATACTGTAAGCCAACTGTTATTTGTGACATCTTTTATTGATGCTTTGTCAGATTGAAATTGATTTGAAATTAATCGAATACATAAAAGTTGATTTACAGTACCAGGAAAAATTGAGTGATTGTGTCATGAATATAAGGAAGGAAAGTTAATTACCCCCAAGTCTTAATGAAAACCCTGGATTTATGATTTATGTACTATATGTTAAATGTTTCTTTTCAGGGTGTGGTGTTTTTATCTGGACTGATTGCATTCTGTGTGAATCTGTCAATATTTTGGATCATTGGTAACACCTCTCCAATGACGTATCCTTTTCAACCGTAGTATCTGAGGGGACTGTAGCTTTACTTGTCCAAAAACAGCCTTTAGTCATTTCTCTCTAGTGTACATGATTCAAAAATTGCTTTTATTTGTGTTTGTTCAAAACAACTAAACAGAATTTATTATTGGAGAGTGATAAAAAAAGCACTTACATTTTTTCCTACATTTACAGTGTTAAAACTGGCACTTATTGTTTGAAATCCATAGGTGCTTTAGATGATTTTCATATTTTTGGAACTTGTAGAGATTGAAACCATAAATGCCAACACCGGCATATTCATAATTTCTGAACACTTTGTATATACCCATGATACCAGTAAGGGAATGTCAGTTTGTGATTCTTCATAATGTTCTCCACAGATATTCTGTCAACAGAGGTAACTATATAAAACCTTAACAGTTTGCAGATACAACATGGCTGGCCACCTTAAGTTTTGTGTTACCCTCTTATTGGGCTGGTTCATTTTCCATGACTCGCTTACATTTATACAAATGTCAGGAATAGTTTTTACTCTAACAGGTAAGTTCAAAGCTACAACTTAAATTTTTTTTCTGCCAACTTGCTTTGACATTTGTACCGTTATATTGTTCTTGAAAGTGTGTTAGTTGAGCCGTTGTTTCTTAAAATACTGTTTTAAAACATGGCTTTAGCTTTTGTCAATGGTATGTGACACAATGTGCATAAATAAATTGTACATCTTTATTATTTAGTTTAAGATTTACCTTTATTTGCCACTGAATTGTCATACCTTTATCTGTCACTGAATTGTCATACCCTACCTGTCATTGAATTGTCATACCTTACCTGTCACTGAATTGTCATACCTTACCTGTCATAGAATTGTCATACCTTTATCTGTCACTGTTTTGTCATACCTTTATCTGTCATAGAATTGTCATTCCTTTATCTGTCATAGAATTGTCATACCTGTATCTGTCACTGAATTTTCTTACCTGTGTCTGTCACTGAATTGTCATACCTTTATCTGTCATAGAATTGTCATACCTGTATCTGTCATAGAATTGTCATACCTGTATCTGTCACTGAATTGTCATACTTTTCCCTGTCACTGAATTGTCATACCTTTATCTGTCCCTGAATTGTCCTACCTTTATCTGTATTTCCAGGTGTCACGGCCTATACACACCTGAAGCTGAAGGAACAGAATCAAGTCTCGCCCCTGCCCTCGGTGGTCAGCAAGGCCTAGTGGTGGAGAAGTCCATACACAGATCTCCAGCAAAGTCCCATTTACAATGGATGTACTGATCACAGGAAATTACAAGTATTCTATATCAAGTTAGACTGTGCAAATGCATTTTATTCTTTAGACTTCCAAAATCTTCCAAATCAAGATTTTTTAAATACTTATTAATATGACACTGTGAATGTGTTCATGCTAGTTTATCAGAACATTTAGTATCTTGTATTTGTTAATTGGCACAATTGTTTATGATACTTTATAAGAGCAACACTCTTGAGCAACAATATTCACCTGACCTCAACCTATATTTTAGTAAAATTGTCACAGACACCTACATATAAATTGACAGCATAATTTTCAATGTCTTAATACTGAAGGAACCCTACAGGAGATTTGAAATGTGAGATATTGTAGCTTGCTAAATGAAGAAAAAGCTTCTGTTATATGACAGAATACCTTCTGTTTGGTGCATACAGTGTACTTTGTTTGTACTCATATGGTATGTAATGTAATTTGTTTTAATATTACATACACTTTGTATTACTATTTTGTAAATTCAGTAATTTTGTATGTTTTTAAATTCTACAAAACATTTGCTTACTCACTAGAAATCAAGTCAGCATACAAATGGTTATATAATTCATAGCTGAGATATAAAAGGCGATCTTAAAAGAATCTTAGAGATGGGGAAAATCATGGCGTTATTATTTGATATATCCCCATTCTTATGAATAAAGACATGAATTCAAAACGTACTGAATACTTTACAAAAGAAAATATATGGCATAAAAAAGTCAAGATTACATTTTCATGATTTTACCTTAGAAGCTAAACTTTACAGTTACTGTATTAAATAAAGAAGAGAGATAGCTAACTAAAACTTCAAAGTTTTGCTTTTTAGAAAACAAGGGGGAATAAAATCTCATTCATATGACAGTCTGTTTTTCGTGAAAAATTAATCTTGGTCATAATTTAAAAAAAAAATCTAGGGCTTTCATATTTCACATTTTACCTGTGACAAAACCTTTCCAAATATACCATGACTTTTGACCTTGTGACCTTGACCTGACTAAACTGAAGTTCAACTTACTTTAAATTTAATCTTGGTTATAACTTTTGAATGAGAGAAGAGATAGGACTTTCATATCTCACATTGAACATTACTTGTGACAAGGCCTTTCCAAGTTTCACCTGATTTTCAAAAAAAAAAAAAAATATCAATAGTTTTAAGTTTTGAATAGCAGAAGGTAGATCACTCATATTATACATTTGCATTATTTCCAAACATACTGTTACTGTAACCCTTCATGTAATTTTCTAAAAAAAAGAAAAAAAAATCAAATTTTAATGACTTTTCAATGAAAGAAGTTCAAACATTGATTTGAATTATTTCATATTTTACACTATGCGATTAATAATTTCTTTCCAACCACTAAGACACCAAGAGCAGGGGACCACTATTCTTTGAATTTACTTATTTTAAGTTGCCATGCCATAAGTCACACAAGTTTTGTAAACTGTGTGTGATAATGTACATGTAGAGCAACTGATTGCAGTTAGTTAGTTATTTATAAGTAATATTCAGTCTTAGTCTTTGTTACTTATTTATCTTCGTTAAATTATTCATTCCATTATGTTAATTATTTAACGATAGTCTATGCAAGTACATTATACTTGTGTCCCATCTAATGGTCTCCTTACTCATACTTCATAGTCCCATAAAAAATTAGTTTGAATAATTTAAATGATTGTAAACTATTTTTAAAATTTTTATGAACTTGCCATAAAATCTGGATGCTAAGAAGAACAATAAGATTCAATGTGTTGTTAATCCCAATTATCTTCCATACATCAATAAAAGAAAAGGCTGTGTATAACTTTAATTAGATAATCCTGTAATATTGTATACTTGCAAGAGTGTACCATGTATTGTTTTGTGTCAATACCATTAGGTTGTTAAAAAAAACTATTATTTTTTTATTGGACTGTTTTATTTTACTCTGCTACTTTTAAAAAAAAATTTTTTTTAAGAAAAACTGTTCAACATGTATGATCTTTAAGCTGACATCATCATTATTAACCTGATGATTAAAAAAGGAATTCAAAATTTTATGAAGAATTATAATGTATATTCATGTACCGATCTTCTGTAATTAAGACTTACATTTAGGCAAGTTGTTGGACTTAAAACCATGAACAATCTGCTTCCTTAGAAAAGAATTGAATACATGTACATGTATGTACTTTTGTTTTAACCAAAAAAAAACGTTTTGTTATGAAATGAATATATTTTACTACAGAAATAGTAATTTGTCATAATAGTAAAATTATATTACATAGGGATTTGATTTTGTGGTTGACTGTTGCAATTCTTGTGTTTGTATGTCCTACATAATATATATATACATGTATATATATGTACATATTTTTCAAATCAGTTCCAAATTTGCTCTGGTTATGGAACTTGTATTTTAATAAATACTTCATAATAAAAATTTCACCAAGGGTACATTTCATTTAAGAATCAAAATCAGCCAAGATACTTCTACTTCTACAGAGCATCATAGTACACTGTATTTATTGTCAAGTCCCTGCAAAGCAGGCTTTGAATTTCTTTGTTTAATTAGATAATCATGTTAATGAATATAAAATATGTTCATAAATTGGACAGGCTTTTGCCGTCATCCACTTCTCTAAAATACAGGCCTTCATGTTGTTATTCTGGAAAACATATACATGTAAATATAGAACCTGTGACTGCCTACACTTCATCTAACATTTCATTTGAAATACCTCTGATTATATGTAACAGGAGTGTTAAATTAACAACTTCAACATAAATACATCCAAAGTCACAAGAAAACCAAACTTCACGTGTTGTTAATCTATTTTCACTATTCTACATCCGGGATTCAAAATTTTGAGCAAATAACTCGAGAAGAACACTCTGACTCCATAGGTAGCTCGTACATGCCCCGATCACTGAATGGAGCATAGCGGAGTCAACCGAGGATTGCAAATTGTGGTAGAAAAGCATTAGTTTGAATGCAGGTATGAGAACTTGTAAATATGGATGAAAGATATGTAAGGTTGATTTTCTTGTGACAATTGAGTTTTAATATTTATAATATTTCAGATGAAATGTTAGATGAAGTGTAGGCTGTCACAGGTTCTATATTTACATGTATATGTTTTCCAGAATAACAACATGACGGCCAGCAAAAAGAAGTGGATGTTGGCGAAAGCCTCTCCACTTGGAATAAGGCTTCAAGAGATCCAATGGTATTGCTCACAATTATAACTGGGTTTCAAAAATAAAAGAAACATCAGATATATGCATTATGTTTTATTTCATTGTATAAGTTATTTAAATGGTATGAGGTAAGGATGATACCTGTATATGCAAAACATCCTGTGCTGTTTCAATAAATTTACACAGCCTAAGTGGTTTGTATATCACCTCAATGCTGTATGAATTAAATAATCATACACACATTATTACATTGAAATCTTTTTGATACAGTGAGTTACATGTACAGATGCTTCCAAAGACGTACACTGACTGCTTTTACTTGCTCTGTTTTTATGCTGTTATGAGATAAACCGAGAAATAAATACGCTTCAATGAAGAGTTTTCTGTCAAGCATGTAGTAAATTAAACTTAATGCAAACATGTACTGGTTTTTAATTTAAAACCAATCATAAAATTTGAGGCCATTCTAAATCTTTCTGCATACATTGTGAATGTAACCACATCAGTAAAGTAGTTCTATATAATAACAATCTGAACAAAGGGAAGGGAATTTATATTACTCAAACATAAATTAATAAAATTAATGTTAACATTCTAAGGGGCTGGGGAAAACATTGTTCAACTTTTGAAATAAAAATCTTTTTCACCTGATTGACAAAACTCTGTATCAAATGGAAGCAAACAGCCATGAAAGAGCAGTCACTAGTTTACATCAACCGTAATTTAAATTCTTCTTCCTATGCTAAAGTTTGTATCAACCATCATCAAACTCCTCTTCATCGCTGAAGTAAGCATCTTTTTTGTATTTTTTACGCTGTGGTTCATCTTCTTCAGGGACAGGGGAGGAGGCAGAAGCAGCGTACTGCAAGGACTCCCGATCTAGCTGTTGTTGCTGTGTAAAGGGGTATAACTAGAATTAGTATAGTATTACACATCTAGTCTTAAATTATTATACATTTAAAATAGGGGGTAATTAGTCTAATGCTCCTTATTTTGTTGCTGCAGATAATGAAACTCGATTTATTAGGGCTGTGCCTAAGACCCGGGGGTTGGGCAATTTCCCTACCTATACATGTAATGCCGTTATACCATGGTTACTCTGGTATTCATCCTCAACCCCCAGCTAGGGGAGGAACCTGATATTTCATGGCGCTGACATTAAGTAAATGTGAATCTGATATTTAATGGCTGCTGTGTACCTGATATTTAATGGTTGCTCTCAGTAAGAATGTGTACCTGATACTAGTATTTCATGGCCGCTGATATTCATTACATGTGTACCTGATATTTAATAGCCGCCGACATTAAGTACGTGTGTACCTGATATTTAATGGCCGCTGACAGTAAATTCATGTATACCTAATATTTAATTGCTACTGACAGTAAGTACATGTGTACCTGATATTTAATAGCTGCTGACAGACTTTCCAGGGCAGGATCTTCAGTCTCTTCATCACTGTCTTCCTCTTCTTCACTACAAATAAACAAATCACCTTCAACATCTCACCTTGCCTTTAACTTTCTGCCTTGCCCGGGCTAGCATACTGTTATATGAACAAAATAACAAAAAAAAAAACCACCGTAGAGTTGATATGAATAGATCCTTCAGTCTGTCCGGCCAAATTAACATAAACTTAAGCTTTGAAAGGAATTCTCTCAAAGTGAATGATGAAATACACACATGCAACTTAGAATTGGTAAAACATGAAATTGCTTAAAAAAAATTGTGTGTGACCTCAAATTTTTTTTGTAAGCGATCTAAAGGCCTGTGGTTTTACATGGTATCATCTTTGGCCAAGGGTTTTTGGTCTGCTCTTCTCCCCATAAACTGGGACTGGAGTGGACCTAAAACCCTTGGCTAGTGAAGATGACGGTTTATATTTTTGAATTTCTGAGAATGACAATCAGGATCCTGTTGAGATAATCTGATTTTGTATATCATGTGTGATACATCCATTAATAACTATATCAGTACTAACTTTAAACTGCTAGTACCTGTTTGTCACACCTACAATTGTACAGGTGTAAAATTTAAATTCAAAATTACACCTGTACATTTTAAATATGTGACTGCATCTATCTTTAAATGTACAAAGGTGATATGTCCATTTGTCCTCATTACATTTGTTCGTACATGTATAAAGGCTTTTTTGCACAGGAAAAGAATATTTGATGGCATAACTCATTATGAAAAAAAATCTTTGCTTATATGGCCCTCAAATTTTCAACTTATAAGTGAGTAAAATTAGGATTCTACATCTTTGTTTTTAAATTTTTTTGTTGTGCTTCAAACATAAACTTCAGCTAAATCATAACAGCCTAAATTTTACAAGGAATTCATTAACCTATGGTACAAGTTGTACCAGGAATTAGATTTTGGATTGCATTGTAATGAACTATAACAGTTGACATTATACCGACCCGTATTCCTCTTCTTTTTGTTTCTTTCTCTTTCTTTCTTTCTTGGGAGGTGGATCCCTTTCTCCAAGGAGATTTTTTGGACACTTGTAACTCAGATGGCCTTCTTCCTATAAAATGATTACAAATTCTAAAATCTCCATAATTATGCATATGCATAATATCTTATTTAGCTCTTGTCCTCAGCATAATCATAACCTCAAAACCAATAGATGTTTGTGAAACAGTAATGTCCGATCCCCTTCGACTTACTTGCAGAGAAAATGAATGGAAACTGCAAATAATTGGAATTTTTTTATGTTCAAAGGGCATTACTCTGTCAAAAATTGTTCAATCATACCCAAAATAGAACTTTATTTAAACTGTATTCTTATGATAAATATGAATACCAAATTTCATTTCAGTATCTGCAACTTCTCTGCAAAGAAAATGAATGGAGACTGTCTGTGGACCAACAGATGGACAGACAGACACATGCAGACACACAGCAGCAAAGCAATATGAACTCCTTTCTTTGAAGGAGGGCATACCGCTGATAATGAGTACATACTATAATATATTATAGTACATGTATAGCCTCAGGGTTAATCACTTGAGGGTTTACAAACTACTAGTATCTGAAGTTTACTTACACCACATTCGTAACATCTGGATTTATCAGGGTAATCCTTTCTCTTTATAAACTCTGTAGTTCTCCCATTATCTTTTGCAATATTGCATTTTATTGTTCTTCCAAACATCTGCAAAAAGTTAAATTCAAGTTCAAACTATCTGTGGACTGTTTCTCTTCCATCCATACAAAATAATGTTAAAAATCACAAGACAACATACATGTACATGTATAATATAAAGTAAAAGGACAGGTATATTATTTTAAAAAATCTAGAAACACACAGATAAACACACACACAAATGCATATACATGATATATGCATATTCCCAGAAAAGGCAGAAATTCTAAAAAATGGTTATATAAAAGAGCAGTGTCTACTAACATACCTCAGTTTTGTTCAGGGCACTTACAGCCTTAAAGGCGGAGTCTCTGTCTATAAATAGAATGAATGCTACGCCTTTACTTCTTCTCTCATTGTCCTTTAGAACTGTAACTCTAAAAGACAAATGAATAAATTAAAAAAAAAACATTTAAACAGTAACGCAAAAGACAAGTCATCATTTTTTACACTATTAACCAAGCACAGCAAGTCATATACATCAAACAATCTTGTGTTTTGAGATCAAGAATTAAACAGAAAAATGGTGGTTATAACTGTTTCAAGTGAACAATCTAAAATATTTTAAAAATAAATTGAACACTGGATTATCATTAAATCTGAACACTATTCGTAAAAAGAATTTGTCCGTCATATATGTTTGAGTTCTCGCTATATCTGCAGGCCCCTATAAATAGAGCAAATCACTAAGACACTGTTCAGTGTAAGGAATTGTCACACGTGAACACGGACGTATGCTATACACAGTGCAGTATACAAACAAACACAAATATATGCGCAACTGCAATAAAATGAAAACAAAGATAATACAAGATAACCAGCACGAACACAGGTCGCCAATCCACGCGGATACCCGTGACAATAAAGCAGTCATGTGTAACCATAGGCGCTTGGTTTCAGGATGGTGTATTTTGTGTATTATGTGTTTTTCTAGGTTTGTCTGAATACCCTCATCAAAATAAAAATAAAAATTCGCCAAAATTAGCATGTTTTAGAAATGTCATATTTACTCAATACTGTATATAAAAAGAGTAAAGGAGCGTGGGGGGGGGGGGGAAATTTAGTGTACTTAACTTGAGAGTAAATAATCTAAATTACTTTCAATATTGTTTTTTACAACTCAATGATTCCAATTTTATTGTTTTTTATTATAGGGAAACTGAAAATCTGAATTTTTTCAGCAGTCAAAAACTATTAATTTTCATCTATATCAAACAAACGATCTTCACATTTTTCCTACGGGTGTCGCCCTTAATCTATGTGAGATCTAGCTTCAAAAATGATTGAATTACGCCTTTCAAACGTCTGCCGATTTGAACTTGCCATATAAAACATGCAGTAAACCCAAAACATCCTCAATACCTAGCACAGAAATCGAAAGCAATATAAGTGCCGATTTTTAATGATGAAAAATGTAGAGGTTCCTGGAATTCAGGGAGAATCTTGAGAGGTCAGAAACGGGATGCCTCTACATTTTTTATTATTAAAAATTGGCACTTCCATTGCTTTTGATAAACAAGTGCAAGAATCAAGGACGTTTCGGTTCACTGCATATTTAAAACGGCATATATAGTTCAACAGATGAAAGGGAGTAGTCATTCGATCACTTCTGAAGCTAGATCTCTACCGACACCGGTAGGAAAAATGTAGATATAGATGAAAATTAAGTGTGAACCGAGGTACCCCCTGATTTTCAAGATGGAGAGTGACGCTCCTTTACTCTTTTTATATACAGTAAATATGACATTTTTATAACGTGCTAATTTCAGTGATTTTTTAGTTTTATGAGGGTATTCAGGCACACCTAGAACATGTAGAAAAACACACAATACACAAAATACACCATCTTGAAACCAAGCGCCTATTTGCAGTCTAGTCGAACCCTCAAACGGGGGTAAACGGAAGTAGGAAATCCGTACCCTCAAACGGGGGTACGCGCATGCGCAGACACTCAAAAAAGTGCCGTTTTCACGGAAAAACGTGTGGTCCACAAAATATGCTCGTGCAAAGTGATGGATTATTTCGTAGCTCTGTATGTACTCAAATTTGATAGATTAAAGATGTTTAAAGAGATTGTATTGCGAAAAAATATATGTTTATTGCAAAAATTGAGACTTTTTCTCTCCCAAAGTTAGCGTATTCTGTGCCTTGACCTCCATGCTTGATACAAATAGATTTTTGATGCATAATTTAATAAAAACGGATGAATAAACAAACAATGTTTTGTTTAAAGTTAAACTACATATAATTCCATTCCCCGGTATTACAAATTTTGTGTAATAAACATGTTATTAATTATTTTTCGACACTTTCTTCTGTGCCTGTCAGAATTTCCTCTGTCCTGTAAACAAACTTTTGTGCTTCAGAAATGAGGTAAATAAAAACGAAAAGTAATTTTTTTTTTTTTTTTAATTGAAAACAAAGGTGTAGACGAATCATTTTTGCATGTTTGTGATTTTTTAAAAATATATATATTTTTTAAATAGGAAGAGTTATCGTTCTTGACTTTCGCGCGTTGCATTAAGGGAAGGAAAACCCTCGTTTGGGGGTACACCCCCGTTTGAGGGTTCGACTAGACTGATTTGTGTAACGAGTGCGAAGAGTATACTCTAGTATTGATGTTTCGTAAAAAATATATCGAAAATAGTGTATGCCTATTAAAATAAGAGTCTTGTTCATCTTTAAGCAGTGTTAAGAAGCATTAGCAATAGATACTCACTTGGCCACCCTTCCATATTTCTCGAAAATTTTATGGATATCATTATTTGTTAAGGAAAAAGGCAAATTGCCCACGTACACAGTACTTTTACTAGGGGCTAGTCCGCCACTCATTTATTCTCGATTCATTGAATAAATACAAGCTGAATTTTTATTTTCCTGAAAATTACAACGGGATATACAATTTCTTCTATAAAATAAAAATAAATCGGAATTTGGAATTCCGAACTGCGACGAGTCGGATATAGATATATTTTGTTTTTGTTTTTTTCTTGTCATTACATTAGGCTATATTTTTTCCTTTCTCTTTCTCTGAGTGAAATGCTAAATACTTAACTCCACTTTCGGTCTAATGACTTTAAGCCACAACTGGGGAAAATAAAAATTAAAATTTTGAAAGGCTGACTAGAGCTGGAATCATGAACCCGACTCTGATTGACAGCTTCCCGCGAATTTTCAACTCATCATGGATAATGTCCGTATTGTTCAGGGTAAAATATGATGTACAAAGAGAACTAACTGGAATCGCATTGAGAGACTTTGTACTGAAAGTTCTAAAAGTTTTGGGGCTTTTGATGAGTGACTACACAGTTATTTCTTGAATGAAATTATAAAAGTCTTACATGCTGAAAGACGTCAGTTATGGCCAACAGGATATGATTGGTAACAGTTCAGCACAATGAGAAGCAATCATACTTATCCACTTCTCACCGAACACAATATAGTGCATAGTAACTCAAACAATGGAAATTCATCTTTTGCTTAAAAGTGTTCAACACACAGGCACTTGTTTCGTGTACGGGGTACCCCCTACCTATAGGTAGGGGGTACCCCGTAAACGAAACAAGTGCCTGTGGTTCAACAACTGCAGTGTTAGAACTTTCTATGAGTTGGGTTGTCATTTTTGATGGTATAGGCATCGGAAGCAAATTGAAAGTGGGGAAGGGGGCATATTGAAAGTGGGGGGGGGGGGCAAACGAACAGAAAAAGGTAAACCCCAATTTCCAATGCCATTATTATGTATATATTTCCGAAAAAGAGGGAGACCCCCCCCCCCCCCCCCGCTTTCGACGCCTATGGATAGCCCATGGTACATAGATGAATAGTAAAATACTTGTGACTTATTTATTTTTAACGTTCAAGCTGTCTGCTTTCCTTCAGAGAATGTGGCCTATATCCATCTCCATCTCCTTCCATTGATCGTCCTTGGTAGATGTACAGTGGGCTTTCAGATATCCGGACGCCAGATATCCGGATGCTTCAGTATCCGGACGACTTTTGATCGGAACAGAATTTTTTAATGTTATTTTGTCTTGTTTAACTGGTTATTCAGATATCCGGACGCTTCACATATCCGGACAAATTGACTAGGAACCAAAGCGTCCGGATAAATGAGGCTCCACTGTATGTACAATTGTTGGTTGGATATTTTTTTCAGGCCTGTGTATTTTTAGGATCCTCGTAAGGCATCCCCATGGATTGTTGTGTAGGAAAGGAAAATAAGCAATATATGTTAGCTAGCAAACATCCTATCACTGATGTGGATTCTAAACCCCCTTCTCCACACCCCTAATGGTGAGATTTAATTTTGGCACATTTAGCAAGGCTGTTGAGATTACTAAAATTTTCATTCCACATTTGAGGTTACATTCATCTTTCAAGACATCACAAAATTGCTAAAATTCTTGCAGCAATGCTAAAATTAGATACCAATTTTATAAGGAGAATTTAGTCTCACTAAAATTCTACTTGTACAATACTCGATATATATTTGAAAGAATTAACTATATTTTTGAAATACATGTAATAATTTAAGATAATACACATTGAATTTAATTTCAGATGAGCTGGTAGTGGACTGATTCAAAAGCCATGGCATTTGCTATCCGCAGTCTGCGTAATGCTATCACTGTTGAAGGGACCCTTGTACCCCCTCCCCTTTTAATGTATTGGAGCATACTTTGAAGGGGGGGGGTGTTTACAGGAGACATCAATTCTGTTCATCAAGAGATTCTGAAAGCTGAAAAAATAGAAATTATGAATTTATCACAGGTAAGTTGAAAATACATGGTATCTCAAGAAATAAAATTGACATAAAAGTAAATCTTAGACTAGTATTAGTACTAGATAAAATGTTATAACTTAATTTGTAATATCCAGAAGACTTTAGAAAGAAATTGCCAGGGATTCAAGAAAACTTTTTTTCTCCATGAATTGGCTACATCTTTGTTCATAATAACTCTATATGAAAAAGTCCTCATGAAGTGTACATTCAGATGTTAATATTGGTTCAAATCATGACCCTCAGGGGTAGGGCAGGGCCACAGTGTTTATAAATATTTTACAAAGGAATATACTGAAAAAAATGTTCTTTTCAAGAAGGGCAAGGGCATGATTACTTATTTGTCTATCCCTGGCTATCTTTTAGAGTGTGCTCATGAAAGCTTCTCTTTTGTTCTTTAGGTTTGGCTTCCAATGTCTGTCGTCAATTGACTTTGTGCCTTCCTCTCTTCTGTTTCCTCTGGTGTCCAGAAGAGAACTGTCCGAGTCCCTTCCAAGTTCATAGCCAAGCCAGGTCCAGCATCTGATGATCATGTTAGTCATAATGATATGATGGCATCCTCAGGTATATTAAAATTAAATTAAGATTTGATCAAATCATGACTTCCAAGGGTAGGGCAGGTCCAATATAGTGATCAAGTTTTACAAAGGAATGTATAAGAAAAATCTTAAAAAATCTTCACAAGAACTGCAAAGGCATGATTAGTTAAATTATTTTGATTTGGAAGCATCCTTAGGAAGTGTAAATTTTTAGCTCTACTGGTCAGAGACCAGAAGAGCTTATGTGATACTGTCTAGCTGTCTAGCTGTCTGTCCATCTGTAAACAATTTTTCAAAACACTACTCCTCCTACAGTTTTGGTCTGATTTCAGTATAACTTGGCACACAAGTAGGCTACACTAAGATACATAATTCTGTGTATCGGTTTATGATTTCGATGAAGGGTGTTGCCGTGGTTACTAAAAAAATAAATTTTTTGAAATACATTTAAAATGCTACTCTTCTTATAGTTTTGGTCTGGTTTCAGTGTAATTTGGCACACAAGTAGACTACACTAAGATACATGATTCTGTTTATCGGTTTTTGATTTTGATGAACGGTGTTGCCATGGTTACTAAAAATAGAAATTCTTTGAAAAACATTCAAAATGCTACTTCTCTTACAGTTTAAGTCTGATTTCAATATAACTTGGCACACAAGTAGACTACACTAAGATACATAATTCTGTATATCGGTTCTGATTTCGATGAACGGTGTTGCCATGGTTACTAAAAATAGAAATTTCTGCGAAAAACATTCAAAACGCTACTCCTCCTACAGTTTAAGTCTGATTTCAATATAACTTGGCACACAAGTAGACTACGCTAAGATACATAAGTCTCTTCATTGGTTTTTGATTTCGATGAACAGTGTAGCCGTTGTTAATTAAAATAGAAATTTCTTTGAAATACATTTAAAATGCTACTCCTCCTACAGTTTTGGTCTGATTTTGATATATTTCCATTTCCAATTGTTTTCCCTATGATAAACACTACAAAAGTGAATCTTGTTTATTCCGCCGTGATTCCTGTGGCATGTAAATTTCTCTGTAGATTGAAATAGTACTGAAAGTTCAAATGTCAAACTTGCATGTATATGATTGGCGTATAAATATATTGAAAAAACGATGTTTTGTTTAATTGTTTACTAAGTAATTAGATATGATAAATCTTTTTACGAACAAAATAAATAATGAACTATCTTCGGATCAAAAGCAAGTCAGTAGCGCAACTCTGTCCATTATCAACGAGGCCTCGCGAGACCGAGAACTTCACTTCCGTAAACATGTAAACAGCCCATCTGAACCATGTGGAGAAATAAGCATTGCCACATAGATCATCCGATACAGACATCGTCCCTCAGTCATTACCATCCAACTTCTTACGCAATTCAACGTCCTCTGTTATTTTAACACACACAATTCTGTTTCCTGACCATGCTGACCAACTCCTGTTTCATCAACTGCAACATTGCATTCAATATGGCGGTGGAGAAGTGACATAGTGTATATACGAGGGCCGTTCAAAAATTATGCGGACTTGTTGCACAGAAAAAATATTTGACGACATAATCGGGCAAAATGTCACACATGATATAAAAGAATCTTTACTTATATAGTCTTCAAAATTTCATATCAAAATGTTGTAAATTGGTGTCAATTTTGAGTGATTTTTCAGAACAAATCATAAAGTCACGGAGTAGCAAAATCTTCGACGTCACAGGCATTACAAAAAAAAATATGTGATTGAGCTTTCATTTTCTCAACATATTCCCAAGAGTTCCTGTACAGTTTGAGTAACCTTATCTACTCAACATCCAAACACCATTTCTTGTCAAGCTTAAAATCTATTAAACAAGTAAAGAATATTCTTTTTTTGTTTTAAAACCAAAAACTGCAGGTATTTATGAAATATAGTGTGATATTGGTTACTCTCAATCACGTTCTTTACAGTCCGGAGAAAGTTTTCGTCGATAATCTTCTTCCCGTTCTCCCGTATAGCCTTTTTACAGAGGTCTAACGGTCTAAAATTTCAATTTGCTATTTGTGGACAAATGTCACAAATACACTAGTTTACTACATGTTTTATTATGCATATTTTGGATCTATGTTTGCGATATCTGGAGCATTACACATAATTTAACAAAAATGTGGTGCGCCGTCAATTCAGGAGACGTTATTTTCACAGTCGTTTTCACGGGAATTGCATCAGAGAAAAATCACTATATTTCTGTTAGTACTTAAAATATCACGTCAGAAATCTAAATACATAATAACAGAACAATTTAAAGATATATTTAAGAAACCTGTCGAAAAATATCGCTAATTTTAGGAAATTAATGAGTTAAATTTTGGGTTCCGCATGCTTTTGTTTCAAATTTTTTGTCGTGCTCCGTACCTCTCCATCAGCATTATCAATACACCGATAATTTTAGTAGAATTTTTTTAAAATACAGAAATTTTATCCAAAATTTATTGGAATCTTTAAGATACATATTTCTGTGAAATTTCATAACTACATCATGTCTGCAAGAGTAAATAATAGCACAGTCTGCATAATTTTTGAATGGCCCTTGTACATGTGTTCCTGCTTCCGACAACCTAAATCTAGGTCACATATATAATTAAAGTTAGCAAGATTGCTTTGATCGTAATAAATTTTTTTTTTGTTTATTTTGTAAATGTTGATATTTGACTGCAGTATAATTTAATAATCATTAAGTTTGTTTCGTGTTTGTATGGGACTATTTTTTTATAGTAAAATTTGACATTACAGGTCGGCCAATGGAAAATAACATGAAAAGTCTTGTGTATTTCCAATCTATGGATGATTACAAAAACAAATAAAAATGAAAATATAAGGAATCACTGTCTAGTTTTGAGAGTATGCCAGGAACATCAACAATAGTGGGAAACATGGGATAATTTTAGCATAACGGGCTTTGCCCGTTATGCAAATTATCCCATGCAAATTATCCCATGTTTCCCACTATTGTTGATGCCCTGGCATACTCTCCTACCTAGACAGTGATTCCTTAAATAACTTCGCACACAAGCAGACTACACTGAGATACATAATTATCAGTTTTGTGTTTTTGATTTTGATGATTTATGTTGCCATAGTAATTTAAATTGAAAATTCTGTAAAATTTTATTAAAAGCTACTCGTACAGTTGTAGTCTTATTGCAATCTTGCCTCAAAAAGAGACTTAATCAAGGATCATTATTCTATTTATTGCTTTTGTAAAGTTTTAAGTCCCAACTGCTACTTTTCTCTTTCTTTATTATAAGTACAAACCAGTAGAGCTACAGTCTCGACAGAGACTTCTGGTTATGTTTGTTGAAATCATGTCCCCTAAGGATAGGATGGGGCTATAATTAATGACCAATGTTTTACACATCAGACATGATTTCTGAAGTAAAATTGAATCAATTTAGTTTCACTGTGAACAAATTTGAGAGATAACAATACAGGTATACAGGTATAATGTAGAACCATGGGGGATGAAAATCACCTTGTTGTAAGCATAATGCATTATGAGCATTTTTTGTATAGCTAAGCTGTGTTGTATATAATTATGTAGTTTAATATATATACAGTTCATAGCCCAACCTGTTTCAAGTTTGAGCCAGGGTGTTTGTATATCTATATAGTTATTAAAAAAAACAATACAAAGAAAACATCATCAAAAAAATCACTTATAAGCATAGATCAATGTAAAGGTATATCCATTGGTAAATATTCTTTGTAAGATCAATGTAATAAATACCTGTAGTATACATAGTATAGAGCTAAAGTAGAGTTACAGCTGAGCTATCTCCAGTAAACACAGGTGTTACTCTCTTTCTCTGAGACCACTAAACAAAATATTAGTTATTTGAAGAGAAACATTTGGACACATTGCTTCTGTAAATTCAGAAGAAAATAGATATGGCCAGTTTGTCCAAGATTAATGCTTCAAGGGGCTTTATTCATTTTCACAGTTGTACTTTAGTTTGTTTTAGTGTCAAGACATAAAACTTATTTAAAATCTTGTTAACTTTCCTCAAGCTAAATAAATGTTTTCACAGTTTTCAAGTAGAGTGGTTACAAAGGCTTTAAGGAATTAGTCGCCGAGAAAATCTCTTGGTTTCAAATGACAAAATCCAACCCGATGTAACAGTATCAGATTCTAAGTATGTCAAGATTTTATTTTTTTTTCATTGGCCTCGCTGAAAGATTATGGAGTGATACTCAGACACACACAAAGATTTTGAACAAGTAAAAAAAAAACACTGAAAAAAGCCAGGAATACATTAAATAGTACACTGTTGGACTAACACACAGGTAAAATATGTTAATTAATTTGTATGTGCTTTTTCTGCTCGTGACGCTTAAATTCTGTCCAATTTAAATTTCCATTTTAATCGGATTAGGAAGTATGTTATGTAATTCAACCTTGACTATTCCTTGTGCTTGTACATTTTGACTCTGTACATTACAGGTGGACAATGGCCCTCGTGCATGTTGCGATTTCTGTGACTAGAATTAAATGCAGGATTTTTTCCGCTTGACTGCCAGAGCAGTTGGATTTTGTTTATAAGGCCTTCGGAGGACTTTGGGATATTAATGACTTGACAAAGCACCCCTGGGTGAAACATTTCACTACAATTATATCAATGTCATCCTCCCATTGTCACAGTTTCTGCCATCCTGGACCAGCTCAAAACAAACAGGTGAGTTACCTGTGTAACTGATTGTAACATATTGTATTCTTTTTTGACATTTTTATTGGCCCTCAGATCTGTATGGCAAAATAAAAATGTTTTTTACATGTAAATTAAGTAATTAAAATGTAAAAATAACTTGAGAAGCTTGCAAAATAGGAGCAGATGACCCCATGATTATTCCATATTACTTATACACAATGTATTTATATGCTTTTTAAGGATGTTCCTTAACTACTGCTAACTTACAGTGAAAAATGAAGATTTTTTTTAATTTTGAAAATAAATGATTTCCTAATTTTGAAACATTCTAGACTTATAATTAAAGTTGATTAAAATTTTTCTCAAAATTTGATTTGCAGGGAAATTAGCAAGGCACATACCATATTAATCAGGAGTTTGATTTGCATATTTATTCAATATATTACCAATTTAAAAAATTCCTGATTTTATTTCTTTACCTTTGAATGCTTGTCAGAACTGATTAATTTTGCTAAGAAAGACTGACAGTGTAGATAGTATTTGTAAAGAAAAAAAAATGACAATCTCTGCCTTAACTTTCCTAAATTCTGTTGCATGTGTAACTGTTATAAATGACAATACGGTATAGACACTTTTACATTGCCAATGATGATGTAAAGAAATAGTTAACGATAGTTTTCAACAAGCAAGAGGGATTTTAACCTAACACTTAAAACTGTGAGGTTTCTTTTAAAGTTCTTTATTTTTGCTTAAATGGGTTCACGACACATTATCTTGTAAATTATCCGTGGATCAGACAAATTTTCAGTCATTTAGATTTGAAAAGCGGACACAGGATTTAATTAAACTCTCCAAGTGATTCCAAGCAAAGCTACCCCAGGCTTTGTGAGGGGCTCATCTTTCAGTTGGCGTTTGAACTCCATTACTGATAAAATCCCAGCTTTTTATTTTTGAGGATTTTCCTTAACGACTTCTCGGTCAATCTTTGTGACTAGTATAACTAGAGTTTACCTGCAGTAACGAGACAGGTGATTTATGGGAAGGTGTTTGTCCAGCTATAAGGAAATAATTACAGGGATTCAAGCAAGTGAATTACATTTTGAACAAGTGATTAAGTGACGAGTGACCATATAAAAAATCCATCTGACAGATATATTTAGAGATATTGCCATCTTCTGGCCCGGGGCTAGTAAACCACCGGGCTGGTCCCTGAGTGTAATAGATACATACAACAACAAAAAAATAAATAAAAATGACCTGCTAGGAGGGCAACACATGTTCTACATAGACACACAACCTCTTACTGTGACAGATACGTGTACAATAGTTCAATTAATATTTGATACATTGGATTTGCCAGTTGCTGGTTGCTGATTTACTCAACCCCTTGAGTACATATTGTATGGGGGATAGGATATGTTACTCTGGCCTAAAATTCATAGCATTTTACTCCCTGCAGATTAAATTAAGTCTGAAAAATTTAATTATTACAATATAATAAAAAAAAATGCTGTTTCAATAGTATGCATCATTAAAATTGGGTCAGATACCGTAAATCTGGAAATTTTTACGTCGATTTTATTTTGCGAATTCGGGTCAAAATGCTGTTGATAAATTTTTACGTTTCAAAATTTTGCGAATGACCACTGCTTTGCTTTCATTTTCTTACTGGTAATTTATTTTTAAGAAAAATATTTTTGTGAATGCAATGAACTCGCAAATTTGCTAAAAATTTATCTACAGCAAAAATTTCCAGATTTACGGTAATACTTTGTATTTGTATACAATGTAGCTATATATACATGTATTTCATGGGGCATAAAAAGGACACACAAACATTATCTGAGAAACATTAAAAAGACAGAATAGATGATGTTATCAACACAAAAGTAATGGAGCCCTGCAATAAAACTAACTGCTTACAGTAATTTATCTATATAAAAGTTACATATTGGTTGGAAATTTTATCTATTTCTTTTGTTGTTTATATCAACCCTGTCAAAGGAAGAGACTCCCATTTTTCTCCCTTTTAGAAAGTTGGCGTCAGTTGTGAATGACAAATCTCTCTCTGAGAAAGAGACAACAGATTCTTTAGTTACAGTTTGTGAATCTCATTTCATAGCAAATAATATTTCATTTTAAGAAAATTCAGATTTAAATTTTGTTGAATGAAGACACTGGATATGAGTGCATGGATTACAAATAATTAATGAAGATATCAACCAAGTTGTGCTCTTTAAAGGGAGGTAACTTGTTCTTGTATTTTGTTACGCATTATATGTATACTAAATTAATCTTGATGTTATATAATAATTGCTGTAGGCATATAAAATATGAAATGACTGTGTAAAAAAAAATGAATAAAAAATGTGTAATATAATTTATAAATTGCTTTTAATAGTGCCACAATAACACATTTGGGAGGAGTATATAACCTAGATTTTGGATATGTAAAAACGTAAATTGAATTTTTTAGGCTTTCTCAAGTAACGGTTTATGATGCACTTGTGTATATTGAAGAAAATTTGAATTTACATGTAGTGTTTTAATTGTTAAATAAATTTTGTGATGTTTTAATTATTCTTCTCACAACACATTTGATAAAATTAAGTGATAAATACAGGTGTTTCTGGTTTGGCAGTAATTTGATACAAGGGAGGTAATCATGACACTAGGTCTGCCAGCTATATGACATTCAGACCTTGGATTTACCTGTAGAAGTTAGTGCTAAATTCCAGGTATCCCTGCATTCCAGGCCAAGGAATGCTGAAGGCAGAGCTGCCAACCCTTACGATTTTGGCGTAAGGCGTACTAAATCAGCGTCAAAAATACGCCTTACGATTTCTATCAATATTCTTCCGATTTCAGTTTTTCTTGTTCAAAGTTTATAATACCGGTATTTTCATAGCTGGCAGTCTATAGTTTCTACTATTATAACATCTTCATAATTCTTACAATGCTTGCTTGTATTGTCGTTTCGGTTTTAGAAGGCTGACCACATTCATGTCAATGTTTTAAAGTAAACAAAATGAAAACATGCCTCAGATTGCATGTCTATTTACAAAACATCTTCAGCGGCAGGGGGCCTAGGTGGTCCCTAGACCCTGCCTTACTATTTGTCATTCCAGAATGTTGGCAGCTCTGCTGAAGGTCACGCAGCCAGAGCTAGAAATCATTCCTCCCACAGGTGGTGTATATATTATACAAGTATAATTTAGTATATATAAAGAGAACTATACAGTGCCATTAGAGACTTGCGCTTTTAGGACTAAATAAGGAGTGGCAACATAAGGGAGGGGTATCACTTCATATTTCCCCAAAAATACAACGATTGTGAAAACTCCAGGGCTGTGAATTTTGTGTCATTAAGTGGTATTTAGAAGCTAGGTTCAATTTTTGTTCCTACAAAATTTCTTAGGGCCCCAATGCATAAACTGATATCATGGCATACCAAACCAATACAATTTAAATACATTTTTGCCCCTCCCTGATATTGGAATATCTCTCTATCAACTCTGTCGTATAAAAGATTTGTGTTCTTGCCTTCCTAAAATTTCAAATTATTCATGCATATTGAATGAAAACTCATTCGAAGGAGAGCAGATAGAACAGGTTATAGATAAATCCTCCATTAGAAATCACCCCCAATTGTCTCCCAAAATTACACTTTGGATCAGTGTTAAAGCATCATTGGAAACCCAGGGTTGGTCTGGCTTCTCTGAGGTAAGAGAAGGGAGACCATCGGTGCAGGGTTTCTGACAATAGGGTTAAAGGTAAAAGTGGTCTGTTCTGTTACAAATTGAATATTATTGTTAGTGACTTTACTAAGAACCAGTGGTTACACATGCTTTAATGGGCCCAGCGTCTGTTGCTATATAGTTGTTTATTTTGTACTCCAGCTGTCAAGGCCATAAAAAATGTAAATGATCCTGATTATATGCAGCAGGAAAATGATATCAATATTAAATACTGTACTGTTTATGTATAATGTGACAATTATATCTGCAATCACAATCTTCTAGAGTCATATTGCACCGATGGATATATGACAAACTTTTTAAAAAAATTCTTCCTCTGCAGTCTGTAGGAAAATCGAAATTACCCGGTAACTTAATATCCTAAAATGTTTTTTAATATATTCAATGTAAATATAGCAAGAGTTTTCTGTCATCAGCTAAGCTAGAGTAACACCCTATGTATTAATTTCTGTCAGATTATTTTTTATGTTTACAGCATTATTTTGCAGTCACTGTTGTTGATTCTCCTATTGTGGCATTTTCACACATTTTGTGTTGTCATGCTTTACAAATAAAAAAAAAGGCCCCTCGTATAGCCACAGCTGAGAAGGCGATTACTGCCTAAGGTTGGTGTTTGTAGTATTTCACACCAAGTGTCACTTTCCCAACTTCTTCAGATATCTTGATTAATATATGGAATGTGTTTGAAAACTGAAATTTATACAAGTTGTAGATAAACTTGAGAGACAGATAACAAGATTATCTTCAGACTGTAATGATTATGGAATCTTATTATCAGTTAGTGAATGTATTAGGTGGATTTCACTATAATCCACTGATACCACTTGTGAGTCTTTTAGCACATGTTTTTGTGATGATGTACTGATACAGACTTGTAATGGCAGACACACTTATAAGGAGTCAATTAGGAAGAAGATGGAGATTAAATTGACAAATGAAAACCTACAAGTTCTTTCTCCGTTGAATATCATTTTGACATTTCCTTGTGGTACTCTCGTTTAACCATGATAAGCATTTCCCGCTATCGACGAGATTATAGCTCAAATCTGCTTCTTTTCACGGGAAAATTGTTTAGACAAAAACCTTTGGTTTGGATAATATCTGGCATATAACTGGAATTTCATTTTCTTTGGATATTGTTTTTTGGCACATGTTTATGTAAGTTCAGTTACCTTTTTGGACAGAAATGTCATGTTTTTTTCACATCAGGTGTGTATTTCTCATTTAGATCAGGACGTACGTTAGCTCTGTAAGATTGAGTTTTATTGAGTTTCGTGTTATTATTGGCTAGGGCTATTCTACACCATTTATTATACCTGATACGCTTATCAAAATTTTACTGCCTATTTTCTTGTGCAAAATAATTCACATTAGTTAAAAAAAATCTTTTAGATTTAAAGATGAGATTGTTGTGATTAAGCAATGAATTCAGCTTTTAAATGATCTCATTTATAGTCAACAGGACCTTATTTAATATGCCTGCTTTTGTATCTCTCTAGGCTGTGACCTTTAAATGAAGATTGACCTTGAGATGACCTGATGTCATGGCACTGTTCACCTCAGTACTGGGGGTCAAGGACGTTTTTCTGCTGCTGCTGTTGATAGGAATTTCCTCCCTGTTACTGACCTACCACATAGTGTTGTACCTCCCACACACTCCTGAAGGTCACACAGAGGTCAAGGGCATCCATTTTCTAAGGATTCATCAAAATCAATTTGCTAGAAAAATGTCTAGTGAAGATGGGCAGGACTTCCCAGAGAAGCTGAATAACCAACAGCAGAAAGGGACAACTGCATCTCAGAAGCTGGATATCTTAGACAAGATTTTTAAGGTACCTGTAATTAATTTTCTTCAAAATTTTCAAATTTTCATGAAATGGATTATAACCAGAATATGCCTTTTCTCAAGTGTATGCATGTTCTGATAAATACTTTTTTGGCATTCATATCAAATTTGAAAGTCAACAGTATTTGCAATATTGACCCCCCAGCCTTCACTCAGAAACTGCATATTCTGTTAATTTCAAAAAAACCATTTGTTCATTGTACTAATATGAAACTATGTTTTGTCCCTGGTTAATATTTGCAATGGCTAAAAAGTTTATCAAGAAAGAATTAGCTATTTAATCTACTTGAAGATGTACACTTGATATTGTGTACATGTACAGAGAAATGTAATGTGATATCGGATAAAAGAACTAGGATGTAGATTTAGACAGAAATCAATCAGTGTTATTTTAGGTGTTTATTTGTTTTCTTAGGTGTGTTGACAAGGCTTAAAAAATCTTAATGTATTGACTGAATATTTAATAATAATTAACTCTTCAGACAAAATGTTGGTGATTAAAATATGTTGAAAAAAACTAATGAAGAATATTCTTATAATGTGTAAAAAATGGAAAATGCAAAGTAGGGTAGTCTTCTTTAAATCTTGTTACGCTTTGAATCTTCTCTACAGCTATGGTGATTTGTTTGTGTATTTGTGTTTTTTTGTCCTCATTGACCTTTGACTGCAGGTTCACCCTGAAAAACATCTGACATGCAGGGGAGAATACTGTGTAATAAACGTCACTTAATTTCTCATCAAATCATTTCATCCACAAACAAAGAGGAAATCCTATCTGACATTTGGTTCAAAGTTTTCAAAATAAGTTGTTTTATTTATTCAATTTGATGAAGTGTACTTTTGGGACAAGAAAATAGAATTAATCCTTGGCTAATTGGGGAGATCATGGTGATATTTTACTTTTTTATTGGCCCATTTGTGGTGAAATTGATGAATCAGAATAAAACAATGAAAACCATATGCCATCAGGAGGAGGAAAAGACAAAGTCTTCCTAATATTTTCTCTAGCTCTTTTTGCATTTTATATCAGAAATAATAATTTAATTTGCTACACAAAACTGACTTGATCAAGTTTATATTCATATCTTACTCTAAGGGGGATGCATGATAGGCATTTTGACTACTGTATATAAAATAATCTTAAGTAGAATTAAGTATATCAATACATGTATTTAAGATTAATTTTTTTTTTAAAGTTGCAGTTAGAGTTTTCAGCAACAGTGTTAACTATATTGTGAAGATTTTGGAAAATTCGTCATGATCCTGTGACTGTTTTTCTGTGATATATATTAAACTGTTTATATAAAAGCATTTATGATCATTGTTTATAAAAATATTTTGTTTATAAAATATCAGATTTGAAGTGTTAGAAAATTTCTCTCATGAGTTAGCACTGAATATCTCTAAATCTTTAGTTTTGATAAAAAGTTGATATTCTGTATGTTTCCTATGACCTGTTTTCCTACTGACAGGGTGTTTCCCTTCAATGCTAGGCTTTACTGAATGTTTACGTTTAGTTAGATTGCACAATTTCGTTTTTGTACAAACATAAATCATGGTCAGTGATATGTTTACAAATTCCCCGGGCGATGGTGATATATGATTTGGCAGGGGTAAGAGTGAATAAGAGTAATAGCCCTTGGGTGGATCAGTTTAATTTGTTTTTCCAATTTTATGCCTTTTGCTCCTATTTAATTAAGCAGACAAAATTTAAATAATCAATTTAATAATATGTGTCATATATATATATATATATATATATATATATATATATATATATATATATATATATATATATATATATATATAGATCGATTTGTTCACTTGCTTCCATGAAATTGCATTTCTTCTTTCTGTACAGTCAGTTATTTTTGTAGGTGAATAAATTTGTTGTTTTTATGATATAAAGAGATCCACAAATTCATGCCCCCCCCCCCCCCCCCCCCCCCCCCCCCCCGCTCATGGAAAGTAAAACTTTAAATGTTTAACAAGTCTACAGTTTTTTATAACCAAAAGATTTTCCTAACAATTAACCCTTTCTTTCTCAAACCATGAAAAAAGACCCCCCACCCAAAAAAAATGTGATTTTATAGTAAATATAGATAATGAAATTATTCTTCATATAGATAACTAAAACCTTTTAATTTTGATGCTTAGATTGAGGAGAGGCTAGCGGATGTATCCAGGTTTCCTGCTCTTATTGACGGGGAGGAAGACAACAGTACGCGAGTCCTGGAAGAGTTATTACGTCACTTAGACTACAGAGTGATCCACAGTGCTGGTAGGAATATAAATATAAACTCTTCTGTCTTGTAATCAAAAAAAATATTGCTGTAAACTATGATAGAGGCCTATTTGTCATGAGTTTTTTGACTGCTTCATTAATTAAGTTTTTAAAAACATGATTTTTTTTCAAAATGAATATAATTAAAATATGCGGAATAATTAAAACTATGATAGAGGCCTATTTGTCATGAGTATTTTGACTGCTTCGTTAATTAAGTTTTTAAAAACATGATTTTTTTTCAAAATGAATGTAATTAAAATACGCGGAATAAAACTTGAACTTATAATTGACCTATTCAAATCTTAAAATTTATAACTCCAAACAATCAAAATATTTTCAGATAAATTACTCCAAATCTTAAAATATTTATTGAATATCATAATTTACATGTATTGACTTGCATCTTTTTGTTTGAAAGAAAATTTGGGAAAGAAAACACAGAAATTGTCAATGATTTGGAATGTAAAGGGACATAACTCCACAACTGGAACAGAAAATGATTTAAAGAAGGTAATTAAACCTCCATAATCAACTCAGGGAATCAAATATCATAGATGGTATAAAATTTACTCTGGACAGAAGTCCAGAAAGATGCTAACAATTTCAAGTAATAATTTGGTCCAGGACTAACATGTACTGAATCATTTTAACTTTGATATTCATTCAGTTTTAAATGTGAATGTATTTATACCCCCGCTTAAAAGTTGGAGGGTATATATAGTAATCAGGATGTCCGTCCGTCTGTCTGTTATGCTTTGGGGCACCCATCTCTTATCTTTTACTCCTTTCATACCACTGAATGAAATTTGATGAGACTTTCACAGAATCTTCATTACTATTGCTATTGTGCACCTTTTATTTTACTTTTAGATCTGACACTTATTTTGGGTTTCCCATAGCAAAACATAAACACTGCCATTATATTCATATGGGAGGTGGGGAGTATCATTTAGTGAGCTCATTGCTCACAGTACATCTAGTTTTGATTTATCTGGTTTTTCTGATTTACATTGAATTTCTAATTTACTTTGTTATTTTTGTTTTACTTTGTATTTTTGTTTTATCTTGTATATTTTGTGTTGTAGATTAACTCCATACAGAGCCTACAGCGTGTTGTGGCTGATCCTTCTCTCCTCTGTCGTATACAGAAAATGCAGAATGCATTCTCTAAAGGTTTGTCTGAATTATCAAGTATTTAGCTGCTGGTATAATTTATTCTTGATTGTCAAACTATATAAACAATCATGTGATCGGAGTATTAAATATAAGTTTATTTGTTATGGAAACTAAGGTAAAACTTAAATATAGTTCACTATGTATCTTTGATATTTTGACTTTAAAATTGAAGAAACATTGATGTTTTATTCCCACATTATGACATTTTCAAACAAAGTACTGAATGTCATTTTACTCTGCTTTCAGTGAGAGTAGGGGACAGAACTCTGTGCTATGTCTCACCACACAGGAGTACTGAGATGAAGGTTGACTCACACAAGAAAGATCAGGACTATGTGTACTTACACAAGGATGACGGAATCACTATACATAAACAACCATTAACACTGATGTAAGTACTGTTATCACTTAATAATGGTCATATTTTTTGGAAACTAAATTAAGTACAATGTACTACATGTTATACAATTGTGTTAAGCTACTGGCTATAGAAATTTAATTCTCTGGTTTTCAGGCCAATTTTCTCTAAAACAGATATGGGAGGGAGGCATTTTATTTATCATTTTATTGGCAATAAAAAAGATGATGGCGGTATTTTTTTATTTTAATTTTCGAATTTTCTTTAAAATAATGAAAAATTTTTTTGTTCAGGTATACTTCCCATGTCTGATCAAAGGGTTTGCATTATCCATTGCTTAACAACATGTGAACATCGTAGACAATGTCTTCTAATTTTTTTTTAAAACGAAGTAGCCGAATTGCCAAATCTCTTTGCAAATGACTACCAGAAGCAATATTTGAGTACTAAACTACGAAAAAGTGAGGACGGAACTTTTTTCAGCATTGGTCTCCACAATACCAACTTTTTATTTTATAAAAAATACAATAAAATAAGTAATGCAGCTACCTCAAAATGGATGTGCGTGAGCCTGAAAACCAGAATTTCAATTTCATATAGCCTAATCAATACTATGTTTAAATATTTGTTTCATGTGCATAAACCTTCATTCATTATTTTTCAGAAAATTGACAAAAACTTAAGGTTTCACAATTAAAATTTATTGTTTAATAAGATAAACCTTTAAGTTCGTACAGGTAATTGTGTTCAGTTATTAGGCGTATCTGCTTCTGTGATTGCCTTTTATCACTGGTACACTGGAATTAATTAAGTTTCTTTTGTTTGATGATAAATTTTATGAAAGAAATCTGATTAATTACATTTTTGTTGGAATAAAATTTAAAGCATATTTTGTGCTTATAATCACTGTAATAACACAAATGTTTTTAGGGAAATGATTACTGGGAAAGTAGAATGGCGAGTTTCCCCTGGAGTGCTGACATTAGAGGGTGCTCCTCTCTCCCTAAATCTGGCTGTTCTTATTACCTCCCTGTCCCCACTCAGGGCCTATCTTCACTCCAGCTGTCAGGTGTTCACCCTCAGCCAATCAAATAGGAGTAAAAGGGAGGTAAGTAGGGAATGATCATCTCAAAACTGGGTCATAAGACACAATGAACTCAAATTTAGTTTCATTGTAATCAAACTCTACAAAGAAGATAATGAAATGTCTTCAGTTAGGAGTTTGTAAAAGTTCCATTGCATCCAAGATTTTCTTATAAGTGTGCTCTTTATAACTGAGTTTTACTGTATATCTAAACCTTGTGAATGTATACTGTTGCCATGTATCTTTGATACTGTAGATCACTAAATTTTCGCGACACCTTATTTTCGCGAGATAGTCATTGACTCTTGATTAGCGAGACAAAATTTTCACGAATTGTGGTTATTGCTCTATATGATCTTAAGAAATACTATTATACGCGAGAATTATATTTTCGCGAGTACACTGCCTCGCGTAATTACGCGAAAATAAAGTTCTAGCGAATAAAAAGTGATTTACAGTAATTCAATACATGTATAAATATTCACTGACTATGAACAATTTATACATGAATCATTGATTAAAAAAAACAGATACATGTAGATTATAGGAGAAAAAAAATAAAAGTTTACTGTAGCCCTTAATTAATACTTTATGACAGGATTTGACCACACTGTGGCACGTCCGTCAGAGTATCCAGCAGAACTTTGAGGAGACGATGGCCAGGCTCTGGTGGAAACAGCTGAGGAGGGGGGTGCTAAACGGACTCCTGACAGCGGAGCTAGGGGTATGGACGTCAGGGGCAGATAACCCCTGTAGGTGAGTCTGACAGGGGAAGTACTGTTGTTAAGAAGTTGTGGGGATAGAAACAAATTGATTTTCAATTACTTCTAAATCTTGCTATTCATTCTTCAGTGTAGATAAGTTTTCTATGTTATCTTCTTTGTATGTTATAAGGAGTTATCTCTCTTGGGAAAGAATAATTTTATTTTTACCTGAACTTAAATAATTTTCATTAATAAATATGCAAAAAGTTCACTTTCTTGAATGTTTAGCTTAATATATGTGAGTTTTCATTCCATCCTTTAACATGTATCAGAGTTTAACATTTTGTATTATACATTTTATTCCTTCTTTTGACATGTATCCAAGTTTAACATTTTGTATTATACATTTTATTTGACCAGATGTAGCAGGTGCTTTCAGAGTCTGTCGGTGGATTTGGTGTTTACCAATGAATTTCAGCCAGTCATATTAAAGGTAAACAAAAAGGCAGATACATGTTTTACTAAGCATTTTAGTTTGCTCGGTGATTAGAGACTATATACATGCTTCTTAGTCATTTGGCATTTCATTGGTATATTTAAAATTAATTGCTTTCAATTGTTAAAATCTGATTAATTAAATAGAGTCTCCATGCAGTATCTTTTGGAAGTACCCATGGCCTATGAAATATATCTAAAAGAATCCTTTGAAACATAAAATGTAGTATGGATGGAATATCTCTTAAATAAGACAAAGTTTGCAAAAAAAAATATTGATGCATGTAATTGATTTTCTCATTATTGCATTACCTTCATATTCCCTCACCCCACATGTGGGGCCGGTTTTACAAAAGGACTTACGACTTAAGACCAAATTTAATTCTTCATATAACATTTTAATTAACATTATATCGGAAATTATTTTTAACTTTTTAAAAGGAAGGTGTTAAGATATTTTTACACAGATAATTTAAAAGAAAATTATTAATTTTGCAAAATGTTACAACAATCTGAAGTTTTTGGTCTTAGTCGTAAGTTCTTTTGTAAAATGAGCCCCTGGTGCATTGATGCTGCTGTTTTCTGTATGTAGATTGAGTCATTGGACTACAGAGCGATGCCTCGGGACATTAAGAATGATGTGGTTATGCTGACGTCCTACAGAGAACCAGCATTTGAGGAGGTCGTAAGAGTAGCTGGGAATATTCAACCCCAGAAAATGGTGAGATTTAGGATTGCTTCAGGCAAAACAATATTTTGGGTTATATTTTAAATCTCGTTTTATTAGCATTCGGTTAGTTTTGTGTAATATTTTAACGAAATATACATGTTTTTTTCTGCTGTTGTAAAATACCATTGAATGTTTTTATTTTTCCCTTTACCATCAGTATATTTTATCCTTGACAGCATTGCAGATCGGAGTTATCTCCCTGCCTGCAAGATTCGGACCTGACCTATATACTGGACACTAGGAGGGAACTGAGGGCCCCGGTAGATTTCCTCAGAGTAAGAACATTCTCTTGTTTTATCAAAAATATCCCATCTATCATTTTATAGCATAGGAAGAAAGACACTTCAGTACTGAAGTTCATTGGTTGTATGCACAGATAGTTCTGGAAGGAAGACTTGACTGCTTTCACATACATGAATTTTGTCTAAATATAATTGAAGTATAGACTTCATGTGATACGATATATTTACATGTACTTAATTGTACCTCTGTGTATGCAATACAATTTGCATATGTAAATTTCCTTACGTGTATATACAGTATGAAATTGTTTTGCTTGAAGAATCTTGAATTATACTGAAGTGTGGATATATGTTAAGAGGTGTTGAAAAAAATACACAGCCAAAATGTTATATGATTTCAGAAGATGTCAGAGAATAATTAAATAATTTTTTCTGTAGCTGTACCCTTCAGTATCAGAGGACTACAGTCATATGATGGACTATTTTCTCCATTTATTCTTCATGGATCAGAGAGGTTCTAAATCTTCCAATGTGACCAGACAGCCACCAAGCTGTCATTTTACTCCGGAGGTACACCAAGTTATAGAGGAAGCCGAGAGGAGTTATCCACAGGGCTCTAAAGGGGGACAACTCAGGCCAAGTCAAAACAAACCAATGTTGTTAGTGCATCTCAGTATTTCTTTTTTTTTACTTTTTTAGCTCACCTGAGCCGAAGGCTCAAGTGAGCTTTTCTGATCACATTTTGTCCGGCGTCCGTCTGTCCGTCTGTCTGTCTGTCTGTCTGTCCGTCTGTCTGTCTGTCTGTCTGTCTGTCTGTCTGTAAACTTTTCACATTTTCGACTTCTTCTCAAGAACCACTGGGCCAATTTCAACCAAACTTGCCACAAAGCATCCTTGGGTGAAGGGGATTCAAGTTTGTTCAAATGAAGGGCCACGCCCTCATTCAAGGGGAGATAATTGGGAATTAATGAAAATTTGGTGGCATGTTTTAAAAATCTTCTTCTCAAGAACCACTGTGCCAGGAAAGATGAAACTTATGGGGTAACATCCTCAGGTAGTGTAGATTCAAATTTGTTCAAATCATGACCCCCGGGGGTAGGGCGGGGCCAAAATGGCCGACCAAAGTTTTACATAGAAATATATTGGAAAATTCTTTAAAAATCTTCTTCTCAAGAACCACTGTGCCAGGAAAGATGAAACTTATGGGGTAACATCCTCAGGTAGTGTAGATTGAAGTTTGTTGAAATCATGACCCCTGGGGGTAGGGCGGGGCCAAAATGGCCGACCAAAGTTTTACATAGAAATATATAGGAAAATTCTTTAAAAATCTTCTCCTCAAGAATGACAGAGCCATAATTCATCAAATTTATATGGAAGCATCCTCAGGTAGTGAAGATTCAAGTTTGTTCAAATCATGACCACCGGGGGTAGGGCGGGGCCAAAATGGCCGACCAAAGTTTTACATAGAAATATATAGGAAAATTCTTTAAAGATTTTCTTCTCAAGAATGACAGAGCCATAATTCATCAAATTTATATGGAAGCATCCTTAGGTAGTGAAGATTCAAGTTTGTTCAAATCATGACCCCTGGGGGTAGGGCGGGGCCAAAATGGCCGACCAAAGTTTTACATAAAAATATATAGGAAAATTCTTTAAAAATCTTCTTCTCAAGAATGACAGAGCCATAATTCATCAAATTTATATGGAAGCATCCTCAGGTAGTGAAGATTCAAGTTTGTTCAAATCATGACCACCGGGGGTAGGGCGGGGCCAAAATGGCCGACCAAAGTTTTACATAGAAATATATAGGAAAATTCTTTAAAAATCTTCTTCTCAAGAATGGCAAAGCCATAATTCATCAAATTTATATGGAAGTATCCTCAGGTAGTGAAGATTCAAGTTTGTTCAAATCATGACCCCCGGGGGTGGGGCGGGGCCAAAATGGCCGACCAAAGTATTACATAGAAATTAATGGGAAAATTCTTTAAAAATCTTCTTCTCAAGAATGACAAAGCCATTATTCATCATATTTATATGGAAGCATCCTCAGGTAGTGAAGATTCAAATTTGTTCAAATCATGACCCCAGGGGGTAGGGCGGGGCCAAAATGGCCGACCAAAGTTTTACATAGAAATATATGGGAAAATTCTTTGAAGAATAGCAAATCAATGATTGATCATGGGATTACTTTTGGATTTTAACTTTTCAATAATAAACCAATTTCTACTTTTTCTAAGCTACAGTACTCAGGTGAGCGATGTGGCCCATGGGCCTCTTGTTGCTCTTATACTAAGAAGAATTGATACATGTTTTTTATTTCCTAACCTGTCTATTGTAAAAATTATGCGAAATTTATTTTCATGAAAGCTTTCACATAATTTTACAAGGATGAGGATGTAAATGACTTTTTGCACCTGAAAAAATATTTTATCAACAAACTTTAAATGTTCTTATCATTTATGATTTTGTTTCCACTTCAGTAGACAGTTGTTTCTTTTCTTTTATGCATATTTTTTTTCAGTTTGTCCAGGAAACTTGATGCCCAGTTTTCAGAAGATAACATTATTAATGAAGAAGAAGTGCCCACATCTGGTAACTAGCAGTAAATTTGCTATGTAAAACTGTTAAAATTCAAAATACAATGTAATTGAATCAATGAGAGAAATTAATCAACAACAAGTTGAAGGGTTTTGGAGTAGAATAAAAATAAGAATTGTGTATACTATATATTTGCTGTTTTGTAGGAAAGCTGACACCAAATTGTAGCTCAGGTAATTTGCTATTTTTTAGTGCTGGATAATTAGAAGGATAAAAAATAACTAGAACTGATCATACACAAAAAGTATAATTTAATACAATCATATGTGTAACTTTTGAACCATTAAATAGAAGTATTCTTTTTATTTAATTTTTTTTTTTTAATTTTAAAATTATTTTAACTTTAAAATTTTAGGAAAAATATGCACGTAAATTTTTGTTAACTATTTGTAGAATTTGAAAATAACAAATCATGAATAATCAGAATTCACAAGAAGACTTCACTGCCCTAGGTTGATGGAACAGGAACAATTGTCCCATTACCTTAAACCTTAGTTAGACCATTAGATCCAAAAATTCCATGAAATACCTATTATTTTTTCTTAAATTTCTCTTCATCTTTAGATCCCAGAGATTTGTCCCTGTTATCCCACGTCTCTCTATCCCCTCCCTCTATCCAGCTGACCCCAGAGTTTGACCCTCAGCACACATCATACGAGGCCCAGACAGACTATAACACCATAGTCTTCTCTATAACAGCCATCACCAGGCATTGTAACACCACGGCAAGATTTCATACATCAGATGGAGATGACAGGTAACATAGAAAAACTCACATCATTAACATTTTGTCTTTCTCTCATTTTTAATAGCCAATATTAATTCATTACGGCCATAAAATTTAAACTTTCTCAAACTTTTCCTATAAAAATATATGTATAGATAAAGTAGAAGTATATTTATTTAGAATTGATATCAATGGCCCTTATTGCTAAAATTTCTTACAAATTGGACTTAAATTTCACCTTTCTGTAATTATTTAGCTCTTTGCCCCTTGTGCTGTCTGTGACGTAATAGTAGCATTAGATTTGTTACTTTTTGATGACGTTATCCTTTTCCCCGCAGCGCACTTGCGATTACGTGCTGAAAAGACGTGGTTTTAAAAATAAATATTTACACGGTGTGAGTAGCAAATGTTGCCGTATATATCGCCCTAATATTTATACAATCATCTGTAAAATGAATTCAAGTATTTTGATGATGACTTAAGCCTGTTTATTTTGTTTAAATAATTCTTTTTTGTGGACTTTTACAAACTTGATAAATTCTCATAGCTTACAAGTAATCTAAATCTAAAACTTTGTTTAAAATAATTGTTTGAGTTTCCAGACAGGATGTCATTTTTATGCCCGGGTTAAAAATGACAAAGACACAAGTATTTTTTTAGGACAAAAAAGGAGATGTAGCTTCCAGCACAATTAACTGTTCGAGAGATTTTTTTTAAATTTAAAAAACTATTGTTGGAATATTGCTTAATTTCTATTGAACGATACTACATATGTATAGCGCATTGTCCATGGAAAACATTTTAATTTTTAAAATACATGTAGTAAAAATTTAACTGATCACATCTTCTTATTAATATTTTGGCTGATTTACGGATGAAATACTGCCGTCAGATAATAGGCATTAAAATAATCAGTCTTTAAAAATTAGCAGTATATAGCCTAATTAGCTATACCTTGCTAGCCAAGGGTTTCCGACCTGAAATCAACTTAAATGGAGATGTGAAGCGCATCGGAATCCCTTGGCTAACGAAGATTATAGGATCTTTACACCCATGTTTGGGTTAAAAATAAAGAAAAAACTTCGGAGGGCCGGGACTAAAGGCGAATTAATACCGGTAATAAAAAAAAAACAACGAAAAAAAGTTTTTTTTGGAATTAATAGAATTTTAACAATTTTTTAAAAGCAATAGAATAGTTTACAAAAGAGTCCACAAACTCCTCGGACGTAGCGATCGAGTACTCAATATTTTTCCGATGCTGTCCGAAGTATTCCGATTATTTGTGGAGCAAATCAGGCAGTACTCTTAAAAATCAGGCAGTACTCTTTAAAATGTTTCTATGGAAATGCATTAATTGTAGCTGTATTTATTGAGAAATATAGAAAGTATTTCTACAATTTTTCCAAAAGTTGCCGTATCAGATTTCTATGACGATGAATTTTATGAACATGCGGCATCGATGTACATGAAAACTTGTCCACTTCTATGTACAAAAGATAGCGTATTTATATAAAATTTAATCAAAGTTGTAGAAATTAAAGTCAATAAGAAACTTTTGTGATTGCTTGCCGGTTATCCCATGATCATCATATTACTATCTAGTATTAAAATATACAAGTTAACGGCAGAAAATAAATAATTAATTGTACGTGTTTGTAAAAGATATACAATTCTGACTGAAAAAAAATGATATTATTAAATCAAAAAGGAGAATAAACAGGTAATTTCAATAGTTTGACTGCAGTCTTTTTCAGTAGCAAAAAAATTAATTATACATGTATATTCTACCCCCGGTACTTATATTTCCGACATTACATAGTTAATGACAGTTTATAGATTTATTTTCCGACATTTATGAAAGATTAAATTCCAGATAATAAAACTGGGACCGAAAACTTTCTTAATTGAAAGTTGAAATCATTATCTTTGAACAATAAATCAATGACAACAAAAACTTTTTTTTTTTGTATTTTTTGTTTTTGTTTTTTTTTTAATGGAATTTAAATTTGAGATCAGTATCATGTGTCTCTGGCATCATTGACATAATATAGAACAAGTGTAGTTGATTTTCTTTTTTGATTAATCGATTATTCATAAACTTGGTAGACATAAAATGCATATCCCCCCCCCCCCCCCCCCCCAAAAAAAACTGCAAAAATAATGTGTCGGAAATGCTGAACATTTCTGTGATGAAATGAAGTAAATATAAAATTTCAAATCAGTCCTTCTATTTAACAAGATAGCTGTTGATCGAAGAAAAAAAATGCCGGAAATTCTTAATATTATAATAATATGATTTCGGAGATGAAATGCAGGGAATTATTTAGATCGCTGTTGGTCAAAGATGTGTAACATCCCATCAGACCACATCGTCGTCCTTTTCTTGAAAGTTTACGTCGCCTAATAAGATTTTTCAAAACCTGTAATTTCTAGTGTATGCAGTGTTGACATACATGAACCCACAGGGTATAATATATATTCGTGTGAAAGCGGCTGATAAGTGAATATTTTTAATTAATATTATACGGACAATATAAACGTACTCGAGGCGGATCAAGGAATATTCCTATGGGACTATATACCCACTGATAAAACTAATCACATATGTCTTTTAATCATATCCCCGCTGCGAAAGAGAGAGGGGGGTTACTATTTTACCCCTGTGAGTTTTTCCGTCTGTCTAGCTGTGTGTCTGTCCGTAAAAAAGGTTTTTGGTCGCAGTTTTCTCAGCAACTACGCAGTAGTCATTAGAGTTGATTTCAGCACATTCGTTAGAAATTTGTTAGAAGTTAGAAGTTAGAAAAATAACTGTGGCATGACATATGGTGGAATTCATCGTTCAAATCTGATGTCAACTTCCCGTTTAACCGTGCGTCTGTCCGTACAATACATAATGTCACAACTTTTTATCGCATTTTTCTAAGCAACTACTCATTGCAGGTTCTTTAAATTTTAGCACAATCTTTGCAGTTGAGACATGCCATATAGTGAGATTTATTTTTGTATATGAATTGATGTCAACTTAATTCGAATTTTAATTTTTTATCGTGCATTTGTGAACGTGTGTAAACATAATAGTGTATACTCACATTAGAGCAGGGTATTATTCGCGAGCATTGGCTCACCGACTTTTCGTTTGTTCTGCTTTTTTTTAAAATATCAAACAAGTGTGCAGTATACTTGCATAAAATTTTCCCAGAATACCTTGTTTTAGAAATCAAGACACACGATCGAGTAAGAGCAACACTTTTTCTTTTAACAACATCGGAAACGTTGATATGATAATGAGATCAATCAAATTAAAAATTTAAATCAACCTCTTTTTCAAATTATGATATTTGTTGTTCCTTTATCTTGTTCCTTTCTATTTGTGTATGTGTATTTTTTCTTTGGATTTCTGTGTAAGGCGGAAAAAATCAGATTAAATAATTGTATTTTTACGAATTTAATTTTAAATCGAACAAGTAATAAGATTACATGAGATTACATGTAACATTAGATTACATGTAAACTGGAACAAAGCTTTATTCTATGACCCAAACCTCTTTTCTCTTCAGTTGTATGATTATGTATTAACTTAAATATTCCTTTGTAATTAGGGCCCCGCAAGGATTTGCGGGTGCCCTATAGTAATCACTCTGTCCGTCCGTCTGTCTAGCTAGCTGTCCGTCTGTCACTCTTCCGTCCACAAATTTTCTGTTTTTTTCTAATAACTTTTTTTAAGGTTGCCCAATCAGGTTCAAATTTGGTATGGTAGTTCAGTAGGCAGAAATACATATTTTGATGCTAAGTTTGGTTCTCTGTGTCTTCTGGTTTGGAGCTGGGGTGGTGGGGTAGATTCCTTACTATGCAAAAGAATGAATGGGCAAAGAGAGATAACTGCTGAGAATGTTGCCATTGTAAACTGGGAAGGCTGTGCAATTTGTCCTTTGGGATTAATTAACCTTCCACATGAAGAAAATCCTAAGCATTATCTTTATCTGTCGAATTGAGATTAATTACTCTACCAGCCTCTGTCTTCAATGAACTTTGTTTTGAAGTTAAGGTCAATTTTGAATGATGTGTACATTCTGTGAAATATGGATTTAAAATAATGTTCATACTTTATATTGGTTAAAATACTGTACACATATTTAACATAATTTTATTGAATCCTAAAATCAAGATATATATTAAGATATCCTTTTTTTATTATTACTACTTTATTTTTTAATTATTTATTTAATTTAAATTTGTTTTGCTGCCTTAATGCTGTTAATTTTAACAGGTAATCAGATAATAACCCCATTCTGTCAGTGCTGAAAAAAGTTCCTATTGTAAATTTATATAGAAGAAAAGGATGGGAGAGCAATACAATTAATCCCCTGGGATTAATTATCTTGCTTGCTGCAGAAAATTTAGAGGCTTATCTTTATCTGTCACATGAAGATTAATGAACACCTTTGTCTGCAACTGATGTTTGTTTTGAAGTTGAGGTCAACCCTGGGTGATATTTGCATTCACTGAAGGCTTGCATTTTATAAAACACCTGCTTAAATCTTTTTTAAATACACATTAAATTTAGTTTTTTTTTTAATAAGACATGAGGTTTTCCCTATTTTCTGTTAATACAAGGTTACTATTTACAGGTTTTTGGACATTTGAAATTTTAAAAATGCAGTTGTTACTTATAATCTTCATATATTTAAAAAAATGTAATCAAGTAAAACTCTCATTCAATGAGGTTCACCCTTATATTTCTACCCCTCAGCGGGGCCCTTGCTGACTGGTCAGTTTTCTAGTTTTATACGGTCCTTCTGTCGATTTCTGCATGAGCTTTTATCAAACATTTACATAAAAAAAACATTTGTCGAATTTGATAAATTCTGGACCAAGGGTCCCATCTCGCACAAGATTGAGGGACTTCCACTTCACCAAATCAGTTGATCAAGTGCTTGGCTTATTTAGTGTCAAAGGAAAGACCTTGATTTGTCTCGCATCCCAAGTTTCGTCAAATAAATCGAGCGACTTGGACATATTAAAATGAGAAAAAAATTCTTATTTGCGAAAGATATTAGAATGGAATTACAAATTTTATTTTCTAATCATTTATTATCATACCATCAAAACTTAACGCGTTATCAGAGCAGAAAACGTCAAAAACGAAATATGCGTTAAAGTGCGTGATTGCGGGGCAAAGGTATATGCGTTAAAATGTGTGATTGCGGGGCAACGGTATATGCGTTAAAATGCGTGATTGTGGGGATGGGGGTTAGTTTATAAAGATATTTTTTTCTAAATTACAATTTAATCATGAAATATGAATAAAATGTAAAAGAAAAATAAGTTTTTGTAGCTTAGATAATTGTTTTACAAAGGGGAAAATTTTAGTCTTATTCGTAAGTATCTTTGTGAAAATTAAGGGCCGCAGGACCTTTATGATTTTCTCTATGACTCAATGACAAACAATGTTTTCTGGTATTTTTGCTATTAAAAAATACATGTATTTCTTTAAATTAAAGCTATACTAAGTGAAGGAATGAATGTTTTAGGACTTAATAAAGTGATTTGTAGCTTTAATTTATGTTGGTATAGGAGAAAACAGGATAAGAGTACATGTAGTGTTTTGCAGATTTATGAATTACACCCTTGGTTTAGGAGAGAACAGAATAAGAATACATGTAGTGATGGCATCACCGCCAGGACCACAGCCAATCAACACATATATTATCATAATCTGGAGAAGAGGGAGGGGAATTCCCCAGCCCCGACCCTCACTAAGAGTCTGTCAGCTAACTCAGGTCAGATTTCCTCTATTTTGTTTGTGAAAATAAATTTGTCAATGATTTTAAATATGTTCAAACTTAATAAGAATTGAATCTAAATTTTGAAAATTTGAAGTAATTTTTGAAATTGCTTTATATTACAAATAAAAATGTTGATTATAGTGTTTGGATGGCTTGTGATAAGACATATTGACTTGACCTTTGTAGGATTGTGAGCTGAGGTATTCCCCTGGGGAGAACTGCGGACTACGAGCCGTCACAAGGTTTAGATCCTGGAGACTCTACCAGCGACATTCATCACAACTTCCTGTCTGTCAGCCATCTGATTATCAGGGGGGTAAGCACTGAGTTGGTCTGCTGAATTATTATAGTTCAGTTTGTCAGAATGAGCTGATGCCTGTGATATTTAACACCTGCATGAAAAGCCGATAGCATTGATGAAGAGGGGGGTTGCTGAAATTGTAATAAAGTCTTTGATGGCTATAACAATGTTGTTGAAAAAAATAAAATGCTGTTAGATTTTTTTCTTTTTATGCTTATCTTGGGGAGATCAATGTAATGTGTCACAAACTTTCAAATTCACATTCACAAAAATATATATGTTATACATCTGTACCAATTGCAAGTAATTCTTAGAATACAACATCATGAAAGTATAATGTGTTTGCTCATTTGAAATCAATTAAAATTTTAGGAGAATTATATGAATATATCTGTTTAAATTTTAGCCTCATGGTTTGTGCCTTGTGAAGACTGTAAAGACCCCCACTCCTGTCACTGGGGGAGTGCAGCATGGCAGACAAACATTTGTCAGACTAAGCTTCTGAATGACCTAGAAATTAGTTCCTGTTTTAAAGGAAGAAAAGTGCTTTTTATCGGAGACTCCACAAATCGGGGAATCATGCATTATATCCTGGAGAAGATAAATGGTTCTCTAACAGAATGGGACAAAACTCATAATCTTAAGCTCTACAAAAGCATAAATGGAAATCAAACGGATCTGAGCTTTTCATATTACCCGCAATTCTGGTTACCAACCAATCACAGACCAGCATTTGACAAGGCAGTATTCCAGCTGATCAAATGGTATATGGATTTTTTGTGCTTAAAGTTTCTAATATATAATATTTGATGTAAAGTACTGTAGATTAGAGTATAGGACATGTTAGGCCTGAATTGTTGAACAAATGGAACTTGATCCAAGTTAATTGTTTGTGACTCCCAAAACTATGCCTTGCTCCAATAATGAATATATAGTTCTGTAGATTGCTTAATTCTCACAAAACTTTATTTTTGCTAGATATAGTCATGAACTCTTTATATGAGGGAAACAACATTGTAATAAATTGTGGATATAGGTCTGTATAATGTTTAAGAATACAAATATTTGTGAGAATGACTTTGTGACTACACAGTGTCTCGCATAATTACGTAAAAATGAAGTTCTTGGGAGTAAAAAGTGATTTACAGTGTACCAACTCTCTGCATGCTTCAACTAATCAAAGCTGTATGGTCCTTTTTTTGTGGTGGGTATTTTCTCATCTTTACTTAAAGGTTGTATGTATCTTTGATTGTATGTTGTTGCTCATGGCCTATTTGTTAACTGTGATACTGATAATTGAATATTTTTTATTAGGACCCAGCCATTACGAGATGACAACAGCACAGTGCTGGTTGTCGGGGGTGTTCATTGGTTGGCAAGACATCATCTGGATCTCATCATCAAAGCTTTAAAGAGGTATCATCCTAATCTAAAAGATTAAATCTTAATTTTTCTGCAAAATTCAGCTTAAAATAGGGAAAAAAATGATCTTCCTTGTCAGAGATATAAACTTGAATTTAGAAAGAGCAAAGTAATTGCAGACAAAATAAATTTCTTGTTTTAATGATATTTTCCAGAGAAAATTTATCTAACATCAAGCTCATTGTGAAAGGACTGGGTTCAGGATTCCACCAACATGTTAATGGTGTTCATTATCTACCACAGGTAATTCCAGCAATTTGGCAATTGTAAATTTACTTGAGGACAGCTGTCTTAATTTGATATATTTAAACATTGCATTTTTAAACACTGTATTTCATACAGTGCCAAAGAACATTGTAATGAGTTCATAAACATGTATAAATGATAATAATCAAATTCCTACTTCCCTAAATTCAAAAGACACAAGTTAAATTTAACCCTCAGAAGTAAATCTTGCAAAGTAGGTCAAAGGTCAAGGTCAGGTGAACTTTTATGCTGATATTTTTCAAAATGTTTAATGACAAACAGTGCACATTCTGAATAGGATAGAATTACCTCTTAAATCTAAAAAAGAAGTTGTATATCAACACTGCCAGCTATTTCAAAAAGTAGGTCAAAGGTCAAGTTCAAGGACAACAAGGTCAAAAACCATGAAGGTAAAATACAAAAGCCACAATTCCAGACTATATATGTGCAAATTATCAAATTTATATCTCTTACTTTACAGTTCTCAGGTTAAAAAGTGTGATAGAAGGATGGGGGGTAAAGAGTTCCCTTAATGCCACTCTGGTCTGCAGTGGAAACAATATTGTAATTTTTTATGTTTCAGACTGACATACAGAAACTTGTACTGAGAGAAAGAGAACTAGAAAAACATAGCAGGAAGCTAGGGTTTGAATTCATCAAAACATTTAATATGACAATGGCCAGATTCAAAGACTTTCTACAGGGAAAATGCGCCTGTCATTTCCATAAGGTAATTGTGTGAGAAAGTGATATTTTAATGACCTACTATACACTAGTGAAAAGCTTTTTAAATAGACTAAAAAAAGATAGGGTGTAAGGTTGAAGACACTGGGTTACTGTTAAATCACATGCATTGTATTTTCATGGGGTCAAATTTTTGTGGTTTGAGAAAAATCATGGTTTGTGGGGATTTATTTTCATGGATGAAAAATGGATGCTTAGTAATGTATTTTAAATTTTAACTCTTGATACCTCAGAAACATTAAAAATTAAATCCCAACAAAAATTTGCAATTTCACAGTATTTAATTTCATCATTGATAATTTGCAAGATAGTTAAAGGCTTAAAGCTCACTTTAGTTAAAAGCTCTGATATTCCTGAACCCCCACCCGCCTTTGCCCCCTCATCTGTAACATTTTTCAAATTTTTTAAACTTCTCAAGAGCCACTGGTCCCATTTTAATCAAAATTGTTACCAGACACTCTTAGGTAAAGGGAGGTTTAAATTGTTGAAATGAAGGACCAATTCCCCTTCCAAGGGGATATAATGAAGAAAAGACACAAGGTGGGGTCATTAAAAAAATCTTAAAAACCTCTGGGCCAGAAAAGCTGAAACTTGTGTGGAAGCTTTCTGAGGTAGTGTAGATTCATTTTTTTTGTCAAATTATGGTCCCTGGGGATAGGATGGGATCAAAAAAAGGGAACTAAAGTTTAACATTTAAATGAAATGGAAATAAAATCTTAAAAATCCGGTGAAGTAAATCAGGACCAAATGTAGCTTGGTGAACATTTTACCCTATGGACGTCTTGTATTAAGGTTATCCAATCCTCAGGTTCTGAAAATCAGGCATTGAGTAATTGAAAAGGCTCTCAAAGATGTCTCTAAATTCTCAAAGTAAAATGTATATACCCACGGTGTTTCTTTAAACTTCAGCCCCTTGGGGATCCGGGTTAGAATAGGTCCTCAGTACCCCCTTGCTTGTCGTAAAAGGCGACTAAATGGGGCGGTCCTTCGGATGAGACCGTATAAACCAAGGCCCCGTGTCACAGCAGGTGTGGCACAATAAAGTTCCCTCCCTGCTCAAAGGCCGTAAGTGCCGAGCATAGGCCTAAATTTGCAGCCCTTCACCGGCAATGGTGACGTCTCCATATCAGTGAAATATTCTGGAGAGGGACTTTAAACAGTATACAATCAATCAATCTTTAAACTTCATCTTCAAATTTAATCATATTATAAAATATAGGGAAAATTAATAAATCTCAAATAACTTTTCAGGAAATGCAATTAGAACTACCTACTGCTATTTTCTAATTGATAATTGATCAAGAAATACATTTTAGGAATAAAAATCATAGGTATCCAGGCTTTTAAAGATAATTGCATGATTTTTACACTCATTCAGTACTTTACTTTCTCAACTTACTTCCATCGTTTCATATTGCATAGTGTATGAAGTGTTTCCTTTCAAAGAAAACACCGTAAATCACTTCTAATTTCAAATCATGTTTATTAACATTGGTAACTAAGGCTAAATTAAAAGAACTTTGATTTTTTTTAAATATGCAAGTTTTACTTAGTTTTATGAGGTACAAATGTCAACTTTTTTAAAAAACCGTTTTTTAAAACTTAAAAGAACATTGAATCATAGGTAGAGGCATAAAATGAAAATTGTTGCATGAAAAAATTTCAATTTCAAGCTTTATTTTACGACTTTTTGAATTAATTTATAAATTAAAGAGTTATCCTTCCTGGCTGAGGATCAGATATCCTTAAATTTAGATTTAATGTGATATCTAAATGCTTATATGATTTGTAGCCATGCTAATTTTTTCCCCAAACAAAGTAACCATAAGAAGTTGTACAGGTCAAGGAGCCTATATATACTGTTTAATTAATTTTATGTGCTTCGTAGCTACATGTAGCTAGAGATCGAAATCACTGTTAAATATACTGAGACACTTTGAACATACACGAAAGCTGTTACGTCTAATTTGGATGTATTAGGGTCGATTTAAAAACAACATAATAACTAGTAGGCAATATGTAAGTATTTGTCAATTGTATTACTGTAAACGTATTACATTTAGCGGTGCATTCCATCTAGCGATTTTGGTGGAAAGCAGAGTCCGCTAATTCAAGTACATCGCTAAGTCTTGTATATTAACTTTTATAATTAGCAACTTCAGACAGCGCTAAATCAAATCTACGCTAACTTGTAGAAAATTGAATTTCCGCCAAATATCATACAAGCCAAATGTAATACATTTACAGTATTCTGTTTTTATCCTGAAAGAAAGCCATTTTTTGTAGCTTTCAGAAGTCAAGGATGCTGGCTCAGAGAAAACAGTTTACCATGTTCAGGGTGAAATAAATGAAGTCTACTCACAAATGGTTATCAATAGCATATGTAGAAATGGAACTTATGGAAAAACAACAAGATATAGTATTGATTTTACCTGAAGCTGAAGAAATCAGTTCTGTTTTGCATGAAACAGGCAATGTCCTCATTAAAAAAAAACATTAAAGGAGTCTTATGACAGGGGTTTTATGTCTGAAAACTACCTTTTTGCTGGTTTTTTTTTTGCAGAATATTATAGTTTCAGCATTATAAAAGATCAAAGCTAATTTGAACTCACACTGATAATTGGTATAGATTGAACATCAAGGAATCTGCTGTCAAAGTTATATCTTTTTATAGACTATAAAATTATGTTCTAAAACTATAAAATTGTGTTCTAAAACTATAAATTGTGTTCTTAAAAATTCAGAAATTGAACTATGCTACTGTTTTTTTACATTTACTATTGTTTTGTAATACTGGATATTTCAGGTGTTATCAAAGTGTTATTTATCTATATAATGTAAATTGTTACAGAAACCACTGTTTTAACCTCATTTACAATTGTTATAATTTATTATAAGAATTTAATAAATGTTTTTGGAAAACTCACTTTTGCTTTTATGAATTTTAATTAGTCTTGTCATGAAAGTGGATTCTTGACTGCTCAGAAACCCTCAATATGGTAGACATATGTCTCATGATTTGTGGTTGGTCATGATTTTATCCTAATTTTGTGTATTTTTAACCTAGAGCCTTGACAAGGGGATATCAACACAATGAGTTGAATATTTGTGTCCTCTCCCCTGTTGATATGAAAATACATTTGGAAATTTTTTCCTTTTATATAACACTATTTGAACAAGGGACTGGTATTCAAGCCAGTGTATTAAGTGGCTCATCACTTGACCACACATTCATTGATTTGTAATAAAGGATGAAAATAATTTCATTTCACACTGACACCATATAGTTGTTGATATGTATACAACACATTCAGTTCATACTGCTGAGGTTAAAACTGGTAGAATCTAACACACACAAACTCCCATGGATACAATTTGCTCCCGGATATTGGCAAACTTTGTTTTGTAGTCACTTGAAACAAAATATATTGTAAGAGGTTACGTATAACTTAATGCATGAGAAAAAGAAATGCTGGCTTTGGCCTTCACCTCAACATTTCGTTATATAAACAACAATATACAAGAGGTATGCATTATAACAACCCCAAATGATAAACGAAGCTTTATGATAGAAATATCATTAAGCATTGCAATGCAATGAAGTGGCAATATAATTAGCATATCAAAAGCTTGAAAATGTAACTGCTAATGCGATAATTTTGATAGGCCATTTTTCAATCACTGAAGTTTTGATGGATTTTTTTGTTACTTCCTGATGACCGGTCTGCAGGGGATACTAACTCCTCCATGGCACCTGATCCTACCTCTGATGTTTTAGAGGTCCTTGTTTACTCTGCTCCTGATTTGTATTGTTTAATGGACTTTTGAACATGAATACTATTTGTATCCATATATTACATGGCAGTAAGCGGTGTAACAATTTGATATTCTGATTTAAAGAGCAACGCTTTATTATGCTTCCTAATCAGAACTAGATAGGTATGACATTAAATATTATTTTCATATATACCACATACTATTAATTTTATAGTGAGATAAAAAAATATTGATATTTCTAATTACCATATCAAATTTTCTTCACATCAAGATTAGACATAATATTCATTTCTCAAAAAAAGTAAGCATCGCTTCATACTTCAAACTATTTTCCATTTGAATCTAATGCTATTGTTATTGATGAAAATCAATATTTGGAAATTTTGAAAAAAAAATGATGAAATTTAGAGCAGAGGGATATTTTACCTGAGGCTTTAAGTGGCTTTTTATACCCCCCGCAAACGAAGTTTGGGGGGGTATATAGGAATCGCCTTGTCCGTCCATCCAGCTGTCCGTCTGTCTGTGCAAATGTGTCCGGTCCATATCTTTCTTACGAAGGGACATTAGAATCTACTACTCCACACAAAGATTGCCCATGACATAGGGGTGTGTCATGACCTTGACCCAAGGTCATTTGGGGAAGTTCAAGGTCACTGGAAGAAAAATTTCATAATTCGTGTCTGGTCCATATCTTTCTTATGGATAAACTTGGTAGGTTCTCATTTCACACAAAGATTGCCCATGACCCAAGGGTGTGTTATGACCTTGACCCAAGGTCATTTGGGGAAGTTCAAGGTCATTGGAAGAAAAATTTCATAATTCGTGTCCACATCTTTTTTATGGATAAACTTGGTAGGTTCTCATTTCACACAAAGATTGCCCATGCCCCAAGGTGTGTTATGACCTTGACCCAAGGTCATTTGGGGAAGTTCAAGGTCACACAAAGATATGGATAAACTTGGTAGGTTCTCATTTCACACAAAGATTGCCCATGCCCCAAGGTGTGTTATGACCTTGACCCAAGGTCATTTGGGGAAGTTTAAGGTCAATGGAAGAAAAATTTCATAATTCATGTGTGATACATATCTTTATTATGGAAAAACTTACTTCTGAAAAACCCAGCGGGGGGTATTTTGTCCCGTTTGGACAGTTCTAGTTTCATTAGTGAATGCTTCATGTTAGTACTTCCATTCCTATATTGACTCTGGATATCTTTTTTAATTCATAGATTTTATTTTTGCTTTCACATTTAGAGACTGTACAATACAACTCGATAAATCTTGGTCTATTTGTAATGAAGGAAAATACAGTCTGACAAATCTGTTTTATATTTTAATCCTTAACTAGAAAAGGACATGGAGAGTAACCTAACAACAACACTCAATGGGTTACCTGATTACTTCGGCATTTCTAATGTCAACATCCTGATCTATGTAGCCATTTATCCTTATTTTTTGTATGTGGAGTTTCCCAACTAGATAATCAAGAGCATGGTTTTTATCAGAACAATATCTAAAACAAGACAAGCATTTAAAGAACAAGTTGATGAAACAAGGTATATCAACAGTGTATTTTGCAAGTTCTATGGCCAATGCAATGACCTTGTCGGCATATTTAATTTATTAAGGTAGTGAATTTACTAGCTACCCATCTATAGGATGTAAACTGTGTTGGGGAAGTTTACACTTTCTAAATAGTGAATTAAGTTTCAAAAAAACCCCTGCTCACTTATATGAAATTTTTCTTAAACTTTTATGATTTTCCAAAGGAAATGTATATGCTGAATAAAATACAAACAATTACAGCATGTCTTGCGGGGCAAAGATTGACAAAAAAGGCACATAAACTTGACAAATTTATAAAGGAATAATAAACGTTTGTGTCATTAAGAGTTATCTCTCTTATCAGAGTATCAATGTACCTTAACTGCGAATGGTTTGAACTGTTGTGATCTATCTAAATTTCATTCAGATAGCTCCAGTGTTCTGGTTGATTAATCGTCTTGTCTTTCCTAGCTCTAGTGTTCTGGTTCAGTGTCATCCTTAGCTCTAGTAATCTAGTTCATTGTCATTCTTAGCTCAAGTGATCAAGTTCATTGTCATTCTTTGCTTTAGTGTTCTGGTTCATTGTCATTCTTTGTTCTAATGTTCTGGTTCATTGTCATTCTTTGTTCTAATATTCTTGTTCATTGTCATTCTTTGTTCTATTGTTATGGTTCATTGTCATTCTTTGTTCTATTGTTCTGGTTCATTGTCATTCTTTGTTCTAATGTTCTTGTTCATTGTCATTCTTTGTTCTAATGTTCTGGTTCATTGTCATTCTTTGCTCTAAGTGTTCTGGTTCATTGTCATTCTTAGCTCTAAGTGTTCTGGTTCATTGCCATTCTTAGCTTTAGTGTTCCGGTTCATTATCATTCTTAGCTGTAGTGATCTTGTTCATTGTCATTATTGGTCATCTTAAGGTAGTGTATATCTTTGTAATCTAATGTTGGGCCACAATGGATGATCAAAGTATTACATAGGAATACATACAGTGTAGAAAAAATGTTTAAAATCTTCTTTCAAGAACAAGAAAACTGTGATTGGTCATATGAAAAGGAAATCATCTTCAGGTAGTGTAGATTCAAGTTTGTTCAAATCATGACCCCCGAGGGTAGGGTGGGACCACAATGGATGATCTGTTCTTTTCAAGAACAACAAAGCCATGATTGGTTCTACTTGTAAGGAAGGATCCTCGGGTAATTTAGATTCAAGTTTGTTCAAATCGTGACCCCTGGGGGTAGGATGAGGCTGAAAGGAAATTTTTAAACCCATAGGGTGAAATTAGTCACAATATTTCAAAGAAATATGTAAGCATTCTTCGTTAATGTAGATTCAACTTTATTCAAATCGTACCCCCCCCCCTTTTAGGGGTAGGTTAGGACCACTTATACATTAAAGATTTTAATACATGATTTAGTTTTGCTTCTTTCCTGGCCACAGTGCTCAGGTGAGCGATGTGGGACATGGGCCTCTTGTTTGTATAGTAATCTTCCTCAATGAATTCTTTGCATTAGTTTTTGTCCCTTTGTCATTCTATGGTGTAGTATTCTGTATCCTTCTTTTTTTTCCTTGGTAGAGTCAAGAACTTCTCCGAGAAATGATTTATTACTTTCCAAATAGAAATAAGACCTGGGGATATTCAAAGGTATCGTTTGTATATACGCTATGCTAATAGAAGAAAAAATAATGTCTTTTAAGGGAATTCATGAAGGGTATTGTCTTGATGGAAGTATTAATAAGAAGTTGATAAGATTTCATCTTATGGCAACTAATTGGATAGATGATATATATTTGGTCGTTTATCTCAGTGAAATTGACTCTGTATATATAAAAGTCATCTACAACCGATCTTGTTTTTTTTTTGTTTCTCTCAGTAGACGAGAGAAGAACCTACTACTTCAACTTTTATAAAGCATAAAAGGTAGGTTTTATTATGTTTTCATTAGAAATATATACGGGAAAGTAAACATACATTTGTTTCAAAAGGACATAGGATAAATTAATAAGTGACGACTACAGAAAAAAACATGTTTCTTTTTACTGTTTTAAAAATGATAAAGATAACATGAAACACTTTTGTTAGAAGTCTTTATTTCTGTTTTATCATAAAGCAATATGAGCTCCATTTTTAATTTTGCTTTAAACAAAGCTTATATATAGATCTTCCAACACAAATATGAGCAACAGAAGTTTGGTTTCAGTTAAAAATCTATACAATTAGGGAGAAAAATAAACGTTAATGTCACTTAGATATCATATAAATATCGCATGTAGTTGAGAGTATCATTGAAAATTTTCACACCAAGAAAACCATTGTCAACCGAGGCGCAGCCGAGGTTGACAATGGTTTTCGAGGGGTGAAAATTTTCAATGTTACACTCAACTACATGCAATATTTATTATATTATACTGAATGTTTTATACAAATACATATAACAGTGAACCGTGCGCGCATAAATTCTGCGCAGTCACTATTTTTTGGAATACCACCCGTCGTCAAGCAATGTTGACTGTTGCTACGCTGAAGGGCGTGGCTTCATTATTCAGCGGGTAGTAGTGTTTTTTAGCAAATGTTTCTCGACCAATCAGATTCAACTAATTTATATGA